CTCAAATTGATCAGAAAACTCTAAACAGCCAATTTCTTCGTCTAAATACAAATGGAGTGTATCCACAAGCTACATGGGATATGGCCGCTGCTGCAGCACAACACCATTCAGCGACGACAATACCTTTTGTATCTACAGCTGGCACATTCTACCAACAACCCGTAAGTTTAAAATAAATTATTAGGTGATTTATTAAAGAAAGAATTTTGTTAATTCCTTCCAATTCCTTCCAATTAACTTCCAAACAATTTTAGTATACTTATCAACAACCAGCATCGTTTTCTGCCAATTTTTTCATACAACCATCAGTCTACCCAGGATATCATACACCTGCTGCATTCTACAATCAAACAGCTGCCGCAGCAGCGGCCGCAGTAGCAACTGCTACAGACAAGAAGCTTATTTATGGAATTAAAAATTCACCATGAAAGGAATGGTGGTAATGTTTTTAATGGAAAGATTGTGAATTTTCTGTTTATAATGTGTGAAAACCAGGCAATCCAAAGGAATCTTGATAAACGATTTTGTGAAAGAATTATCGTATTTTCTCGCTTAATTCCCCTCCATCGAATAATTCCCCCTCTTGATTAATTCCCCATTCTAGATTGGGTTGAACAATAATTCCCCACCCCTAAATACCCTACTGCACGTTCAAATGTCAAGACTCGAATAATTCCCCTCCCTTGATTAATTCCCCATGCCAAGGAAGGGCTAAAAAAATAATTCCCCAGGGGAATTAATCGAGAAAATATGTAATTGTTTGTTTGATTTGGATTGCTTAGTTATTTAGCAATTATAAATATATCTGTTTTTGTCTTTTTTTATTTATGTATAATGCCAAATTTAACAAAATTAACAATAAAATCATGCCCTTGCTTTACTGATTCGTTTTATTTTTATTCTTACGAATTTATTTTAATATATTAAATATTATTGTCATTATCCGTATTATTATTATTTTATTTCCCAGATTACTGCATTTTTATTTTTTGATTTTATAAAATTTTTCAATTTTAAATAAAGTAATGAAAAAAAACTATCTTGATTCATAAAAAAAGTTTTAAAAAATCTTTTATATGTAGGTATACGTAAATAAAATGGCTATTAATTAATTATTCTTATATTATCTTTAATACGCCATATAAATTATAATTAAAATTATATAGAGGTGTGTTAATTAGAGAGATTTAATATTTATACCATGTAAGGAAGGGGGGTGTGTAAGGAGGAGGACCAAGTAAGGAGAGGGGGGTTTGGATTTAGAAGAAAGAAAAAAACGGGAAAGTTCACAGCTAATAATTAAAATAAATTCTCATCACTAATTAATAACTAGAAAAAATAGAAAAGTGTAAAAAAGAATAATAAAAATTATTTTGTTGTTGCTTCAGAGAAGGGGTATGAACTATACTTTATTTTCCTTTTTATTTTTGTTGGTATTGTGATATTTTTTGAAAGATTTGTTTTTGTTGATGATGCAAGGAGCGGCAGGAACAAAAATCAAAAAAAAATATAAAAAATTATGACCTTTACTATTGTAAGTGTGAGGAATGTAAATGAACTTTCAATAACATGAAAATGAAAGGGAACTACATATAAGAAAGAAGAGAAAAAATATATATCCGGATCTTGAAATTTTCCGGATCTCGAAAAAAATATAAAAATAAAGGTCATCCTTTCATTAATGTAAAATTTATTTCTTTTGCCGATCAGATTGTTTACTTAAGGTAATTGAAAGTAAAATAAATTAAAAGAAACTATTTTTTTAATTTAGTTTTTAAGAAATTTGAAATTAATTTCACATTATTTTTATTTTTATAAATTGTAATTTTTGTTAAATTTCCTTCTTCACCAACTACACAGTACTGTAGCTATTTAATTTTTTCTAATTTCTTATTTCCTTCTTTCCAGTTCTTGTCCAGTTTTGGACAAATGTCCAGTTTTTGAATAAATATTTAAAGGTATATTTGTTTTGCGCAAAAACAAAAAATATTTTTTAATTAAATAGAGAATGGATTTGTTAAAATAACCCAATTTCTTTTGTCTTTAAATCAAAAATTTCTGAATTCTTTCTTTCAATTTATAATTTCTCGTAATTTCAATTATTTATCATAAGCATAGTTGACAAAATGACCTTACTAAGCTTAAAGTTTCAGCTTAAATCTTATATAGGTCCCGAAATTTTATGCCTGAAAGAATATACTTGAAATTAGACGTCTGTCCACTCGAAAATATCAATTTTTATAATTATGTAGGTTGCCGTTTTCGGTTCGAGCCGACGTTCGGTGCATTTTTCGAGCTTGGTTTTTTTGATTCGGTTCGTTTTCGAGTTTTCTAGCTGAAAGCTCGCTCGATTTTTCGAGTTTCGGTTCGAGCGAGTTGGCAACCCTATTTATAATATGTATATTTAAAAAGTCCAGTTTGTTTTTACTGAAGCTTCTCTTTAGAAAATTAAGCAGTTTTATTAGAACTATTTAAAAACAATTGAACACAAATTACAATATTCCTTCTAAAAATTCCCAAAATTTTCTCAAAACACTTTTTTTAAAAACACAATAAAAATATTTTTAATTCACAAAATATTTTTTCTATTGTTTTTCAAGTATCTTCCCAACAATAGCTACAACGACACATTTAAGGAGTGTTTTAAGTGGTAGAGTGTCAAGATGTGGGAGAAAAGGGGAACATATTTTTACTAAATTTATTTTAAAATGAATTTGAGGGAAAATAGTTTTACTGTAGTAGAAAAGAATTTTAAATAAATCTGTCATTTAAATTTTTAATAATGTGAATATTCAAAAGTAGAATATTCACTTTTAGTTTGTAAAATTTTTGATTAAGACTCTCACTGAAGACCGTCACTTGGGGATTAATATTTTATATTAAGAGGTTCTTAAGGTTTCTAAAAAGCAGCTCTTCCAACAAGTGGCCACCATAGGTATTTAAAAAAACGAATATTAAATTGAGGTGTATTTGTTATTGAATGTATTCTATAATGAGGTCCGAATTTAATAAAATAAAATATAATGTTGTCTAATTTATGGAAAATAATTTTCTTTAATTGTTATAATATTTTTCGGGATTAATTAACTTTTTCTGAATTTTTTTGTGAATCTTAAAAAAAATTTAGAAAATAAGAATCTTAAAAATCTAAAAATATAGAAAATAATCTAGAAAATAAATATAAAATTATTCTTCTATTTGAATATTCAAAAAATATTCAAAAGAAATTATAAAGATTTCGTTCCTTTCATTTTTTAAATTTTTATAAAATAAATTACCTGGGAAATTTTTTTTATAATTTATTCTTCCCAAAATTGTTGTTCAAGAAAAACTAAAATATATAGACTATCTAAATATTTTTTATTTTTCGAGAAGCAAAGCCGCTGTTTGCTTTGCCTGATTTGCAATGAGTAAAATAATAAATGTTGTGGTGCGCGCGCCACTTTGAAGGGCCATGAGAAAGAATTGAAAAAAAGAAAATATATTCAAAATATTAAATTACTGAATATTTATTAACATATTAATTTAGAGGTATTTAGAAATTAATTGATAAAATATTAGATTAGTGTTTATTTAATCTTATTTAATAATTTAAAAAATTAAACAGTTTATCATTAAAGGAACTAAAATTGTATCTGTTTCAGGTTGTGGTTTTGTCGGGTTTAACGATAAAAAATTCTTCGGGAACTGGATTACCTATATATAATGGTTCGAATTTTTAACTATCACTCACTACTATTATAAACATTTTTGAAGAGCCATGAGAAATAACGTATTTCCTCTAATAGAGGCTCCTGCACAATAAAAAAATCAGATCAGTTTAATAATTAGATTTTTAAATATATTTTTCGGCATTTTCAAAAAAAAACCAAAAATTAACTAAAAATTGCAGATTAACCCTAAAATGCCCCTCATTCCATTACTTATCTTCTTTTAATATTTACCATTTTACCTCTCAAAGCAAATTAGTCCCGATTTTTTAATTTTCTCTTTATAAATTTGCCCTTCCCCTTAAATGTCCTCAATATTATGCCGAAAATATTAGTCGCTTCTTTTTGCCATTTCCGCCTAAAATTCCCTCAATATTTGTTTCTTCCTCTTTTTGCTAAAGCTTTTCTAAAAGCCGACAGTGATGAAGATTTATACATAATTATTGCTACTTTAATATTTTTAAGTAAGCGCGTTGTGCAAATATTTATTTATCCTCTTTTTCCTATAATTTATTTTAGTGTTATCTTAAAAAATCATCTCTAGTGAAAGTCGGTTAAATTTCAACACAGATTAATGAAAGGAAGATGAAAGGAAAATTAGGGGATAAATTAGAGGAAATAATTAAATTTAATTTTAAAATATTTCTACTGGAATTTTTTAGATAATTGCGAAAACCTAAATGATAGAGATTGAAAGCAGGGATGTCCGAAATTGAAAAAAAATTGCGGACATCCCTGCTTCCGCAATTTTAATTTTAAAATCCACAGCCGCAATCCGCAAGTCCAAAAAACACGCAATCCGCAGTTACGGACAGCTATAAACGAAAGTCATTAAATTTTGGTCTCGCAGTAATAAATTTACTGCCCTTATGAAATTAAAGTTAAAAGCGATTAAAAATTTAAGTCATTCTGTTAAATTTTTGGGCATAAATAAAAATAAATTCCCTAGAATTTCGTTTAAAATTTCAAAATCTTTTTTTTTCACCCACAAAATTTACATGCAATCAAACATTATTTATTACAATAATTATTATACAAACAAGATATACAGACAATACAAAGTTTTTGTTTTTTACAAATAAATATTAAGACCTATTTTACATACAAACTATTAGGTTATGAAGAGAATTACGAACACTATATCTATATAATTAATCAACAACGACATCTTCTCTTCATTCCTTCACTTTTGTTGTCCTTATATATTCCCGACATTGTCTCAATTGCTATTCCCGTAACTGCTCCTGCGGATACGCGTTCGGTAAGTGCCTAAAGGGTATAGAGAAATTTTTATATTTGAAAAGGTTCGGGTTTTCTACCATTGATTATTGCCAGTTGGATGAGCTGTTGACGCTTGTACTCGTCAAACTGAAAAAAAATGCATTGAAATTTTGTTAAAGTCGATGGTTAAGCATCAACTTACCACAACAGGAACCATCAACTTCTCAATACACTGCTTAGCATTCGCCAACTTTCGAGCACACATCTCATGAGTCAGGTCTTGAACCTCAACGAGCACATGCAGCTTCTCCTCAAGATGGCGCCCTTCAGGCTTCCCGCGCAAGCGTTTCTCCTTTGCTGCGTCCTTGACCGAACCTTTGCCTCTTATCAATATTTTGCATCCGTAGAGCATTTCCAGCTGTCGAACAGAGATGCCACGCGGGCCAAGTATGCGACCAATCAAGTTTTGGCACTTTCCGTCATCGTTGATTGCAGATTCCGGAAACGGTACCTTGACATACATGTGCGTGAGGCCATTCTCGGTCTGTGAAATGAATGGAAAATTTGTTAGAAATTTAATAAAAGTGCAAGAAAAACTCACAATTCTCATAGTGGTGAATTGTTCTTCCAGCTCTTGAATGCCTCCGCCGCGAGAACGAAACGGTCGCTTGCCCGATTGAACGCATGGAACGTAAGCAGGCACTGATTGACGTTTAGAGTTGGCCAGTGGAGAAGACGAAGGAATGAACGACGAAGACATCGTGATGAAGAAAACAATATGAAGCTGGTGCGTATTAGATGATTTTTTTGGGTTTTGAAGTATTAGAGTGGGGATTAAGATAATTAAGCCTGTTTTTATAGTATGTCGCAGAGACTTTATGATCCATTTTGTATGATATTTCGGCATTTATTTAAACTTTGTTTTGTTTATTCTAAGTTTATCTACTTTGAGAAGCAATATTTAGTACTGCATTAAGGTTCGAAATTTCCATAACGTTGTATTTAAAAAATATCTTGTAGAGGTAACCGATTTTCCTTTCACTAATATCAGTTATAATTAGATACAGAATTAAAATTACGTACCGTAAAACCTGTATTAATTGCCCTCCCTCAAATAATATTTTTCTATTAATTACCCCCCCCCCCCATTAAATAACCTCTAACACGTTAAAATTTCAATCCTCATATGAAATTTCAATCCTCAAACCCACTCTCAATTAATTATCCCTCAGCGGAAGGTCGAAACAATAATTACTCAGGGTAATTATTCAAAGTTTTACGTTACCTATTAGAATTTATTATAGTATTATACTTTTCTGATTTTTATATTTATTCAATTAAAAAACACTTGTAACAATATATTAATAGTTTTACTACATTGTATAAAATCTTTTTCTTCAATTGCTCAATTCCGGTCAATTATAAGTACAGCAATGTGCCAATTGAATGAAAAGAATTTAAGTAGTAAATGTCATTCAAATAATGCCATTCAAATAATATTATTTTATTAACAAAACTTTAATGTAAACAAAAATAAGGTCGAAAGAGATGAAATTGAATAGCCTCAATTTCTCGCGCAATTAAAAAAACTGAACAAACTCTAAAATAAATAAACATTAAAAACACAAAAATTATTTTTAAATTGGTGTAGCCCACTCGGTCTGGGACCATTCCGTGCCCTAATGCTCGAAATTTCTGAAAGTTGTAATCGTTTTTTTTTGGAATTTTTAAAAATTGGCTATAACTTTCAGAAACTTCGATGAACGAGCAAACAGGCGGGCTTAAGTTCCGAACAAAAATGTTAATATGGACCATACCCAACTTTGACACACAAGAAGATAAATTTTTAATAATGAATTTACATTTGGCATTGAACGGTGACATCTCATATATAGTAAGAGTTTAACAAAAGTTTAGACACCTGTGGAGAGAGAGCTCAAATCTAAGTCCAGGTTTTTTCTACCAAGCAAAATTTAGCCTAAGGTTTATTCCAACCAAAAAACACTTCGATCAATTAATAAAGTTTTATTTCCAATTTAAATAAGCACAGCGACAAAACAGCAAAGAACAGTTCAAGAGAAGATCACCAAACCCCAGAATGAAAGCTAGAACAGAAGCAAGCGAAGCACCGAAAGAAGCTCAAACAGAAAGAAGCTGATGGGGGTTTGGGGTGGGAGATTATATAGGCCAGAAAAATAGGCGGGTAGACTTAGAAAATATTTCGATCATTAAAACATAATAGGAGCGATAAAATAAAATGCACATTTTTTGAATAATACAAAAGAGGAAAAAATTAAGTTAAGTTTTAGAACAAAAGATCTAAAAATGTAAATATGGTTTGAATAGAATGTTTACATAAAAAATGGTTTTTTAGAAGGTAAAAGTCCGAAAAAGGAATTTGCAAAAAGTGATGATTAACTTAGAATTAAAATTATAAAAATATATTTATTTTATTTTCCTCATCCTTAGTCGCTTCGCGACATTCCGGGCCTCCTCTAAAAGTTTCATCCTCGATTTCTTTTTTCCATCTTTCAAGTATTTTCTTTCTTTTCGTAATCTTTGGCACGTCATCCATTGCACATTTTCTGCTCTCTTTCCATGCATGTGCCCAGCCATCCATAACATTAACAAAGATGGCGAGAAAGGTCCAACTGGGGTTGATCGCAACAACGGTGGCAAAAAGCGTTAAAGAAAGCCAAGAGGGAGTTTCCAGAGTCAATTCCTTTTCCATCTTTTCATTCGGTTTACATTTCCAAAGTTTATTGGGTGCGCGGACAAACATCCTCAAAGCGTCTTTAACACCATCCAGAATCATAGCAAAAGCGGCAAAGACAATCATGAGTATTTTTATATCCATCCATGGGTAGCAACAGGCATAGAAATCTGGTGGTTCCAGGGTTTCTAGTTTTAGGCATTTTTTACGGCAAATGCGCACTTCACGGTTGAGCAGGCCATTTTTAACAAGCAATTCTCGGTTAGTCTTTTGAAGGGACTTGACTCGCACTTGAGTCTCTTTCCGAATTCCTTTTCCATCATCAATCTTTTTCGGATTAAAATCACCAATCTTCCTCGAGTTAGCTTCATCTAATAGAACTTTCAATCGCTTAGCTTTTTTGGATTCCTCTTCGGATTTTCTGCGTGCCAACATCAGCTCGGACATCAATTTCACTATCTTTCTATCTTTCTCTTGGAGAGCCTTTGTCTTTTCATCTAACAATTTTTTAGCTTCAAATATTCCAGCCTGCTTTAAACAGTAATTGTCGCTCCTTCGCAAAGGTTCCAACATTTGGGTTTTTGACACACTCGAATAGCAAACCATAACGTGGTGTTTTCCTCGACATTTAATACATCGGCGATTCTTCGTGCAATCAAATGTTCGATGGCCATCACTCAGGCAGTTTAGGCAACGATGCTGTTCGAGTAATTTGTATTTCCTAGCTTTTGGGTTGCTATATTTAGAACAATGGCTTGGAGGGTGGTTCCCTCTACATAATATACACTTTAGGCAACGGTTTTGTTCCAGCAAACGATCCTTCTTGGCCTGAGGGTTGTTATGTTTCGGGCATTTGCTTGGTAGATGATTTCCTTGGCACAAAGAACAAGAAGGTTTCTTCGGTTGAATAGCTACCGGAGAAGAACGGGTTTGCTCTGGGTTTGGCATTGGCAGTGGGCGTCTGTCCCTTCGTTGATGCCAATCAGGTTCCTTGTTAACGCTACATTTCTGGACCTCTTCTTTGACTGAAATAAGTAGATCAAGCTCTTTCCTCCACTTTTCGACATTCCATGTTTGCTCGGCTACTCGTTCCTTTTCGATCAGTTTGGCAAGTATTCCTCTGGGCAATTTTTCTTTTATAGTGAAAACTATCCAAGAGTCATCGCTAATTTCGTAATCAGTCAATTGTCGGCATACTCTTTCAATTATGTCCAAAAATTTTCGCAATCCCATAACTGAATCATTAGCATGGGGTAGATGGTACAGCTCTGACTGTAACGACTCCTTGAGTGCTCGTTTGTCACCATATCGAGACTTCAGCAGCTTTACCACGCGTGGATAGTTTTCATTCGTAGGTAAGTATCCAGCCACCACATTCTGTACGGGCCTGTCCAACAGAGAGAGCAAATAACTCATTTTTACAACATTGTCATAGCTGGGCTCATTATCCACAGTTGACTCGAAAAGTTGCCAAAAGGTAGGCCAGTCTCTGGTTTCTCCCGAAAAATGAGGTAAATGCAAGGGAGGGAGCTTGGCACGTGGTTGCGCCATAAAAGGCTGTTGCAACTGTACTGTAGGCGGCTGCGGCCTTTGATTTCCTTGTGCCCTCCGATTTTGGTTTCCAAGGTCATTGGTTCGGTTATCTGACACTTCGCTCATTGCAGATTGGCGAGAACTGGTTCTAGATTGGCCAAGATCCTCCATGGTTTGCTCAATTAGCACAACCACTTGTCGGGCAAATTCGCACTGATCCACAAAATGACGTTGAGCTAACGGTACTTCCTGGCCTTCCTCTCTTTCCATACCAGCACCTCGGGGCGGAAAATCGAGGTATAGCGATTCCTCAGCCATTTTCTGCGGCCCTTCTAAGCTTGCCACATAATCACTCCATTGAGCATCCAATTCCTCAATTCTTACGATAGTGGTCTCGATATGGGCTTTTTCCAGCTTCAACTTTCTGCGAGTATCATCATCGTTTTCCTCAGCAATAATTCGATTGGCCTCGGCAGTATGCTCTTGAATGGTTTTCAAGGCAGCGTTCAGGTTTCGTCTAATTCTTCCGGACATTTGAACAGCACTTCCAAACCAAAATTAGAATCCAAGTAGCAAATTGAAGGCGGCCTGGTTCCCGGCCGTTGCACCAAAAAATATGTGGAGAGAGAGAGCTCAAATCTAAGTCCAGGTTTTTTCTACCAAGCAAAATTTAGCCTAAGGTTTATTCCAACCAAAAAACACTTCGATCAATTAATAAAGTTTTATTTCCAATTTAAATAAGCACAGCGACAAAACAGCAAAGAACAGTTCAAGAGAAGATCACCAAACCCCAGAATGAAAGCTAGAACAGAAGCAAGCGAAGCACCGAAAGAAGCTCAAACAGAAAGAAGCTGATGGGGGTTTGGGGTGGGAGATTATATAGGCCAGAAAAATAGGCGGGTAGACTTAGAAAATATTTCGATCATTAAAACATAATAGGAGCGATAAAATAAAATGCACATTTTTGAATAATACAAAAGAGGAAAAAATTAAGTTAAGTTTTAGAACAAAAGATCTAAAAATGTAAATATGGTTTGAATAGAATGTTTACATAAAAAATGGTTTTTTAGAAGGTAAAAGTCCGAAAAAGGAATTTGCAAAAAGTGATGATTAACTTAGAATTAAAATTATAAAAATATATTTATTTTATTTTCCTCATCCTTAGTCGCTTCGCGACAACACCGGATTAAAATATACTACATAGTTAATCGAATAAAAAACAACCTTTACCTATGTAAGTTTTTTAACTACAAAAATGATTTTCCTTTAATTTATTTTGTTGCTTATCCGAATAATTTTTTCATTATTTAAATTTAAAATAAATTTATTTTATCTACATTTTCATTGTTTTCGTTTGGCTGAATCAACAGCTGTTTTATATTTACAATTTAAGACAAATGATAGAAAATCAGACGAAATAAAATTTTAACAAGAGGGGAAAAATAAATATTTGAAAGTGAAAAAAGTTTGAAAAATGGAAGAGAGAAATTCGGAGAAATATATTTGGATCAAACACTTCTTTTGCACTTATTTTACACCTACTAATGATTTTTTAAAATTTAATGTGTTAACTTATTTTTTTATAAAATTAAATAATAATTAGCTTGCGAGAGACATAGAGATCGGTATTTTCAAAAATCCTGGATCTGGATTTAGGTCAGTAACCTGGGCAGGATTCTGGAACTGTATGCGAGAAAAATCCAGATCCAGGAAAAATCCAGGACGATCAAAAAATGCCTGGATCTGGACTCTGGATCCAGGAAAAATCCAGACTGGATCCAGATCCAGACCGATCTACAAAGAAGAACATACATATAAACGTGAACTAATTTTTAGAAAAAAATTATTTAATTATCAAAAATGCTTTGGAACGTCTTTTCTCGTTTGCGATCAAGTCGTTCACCTCTCCTCCCAATAATTATGTTAGCAACATTAATATTATATACACTTTTGGGTGCTCTTGCATTTTGTGCTTTAGAATCAGCGAATGAACTTGAAAAAATAGCAAAATGGTCGGCAAGTTACAGACAAAGGGAATTGCATGCAAGAGAACGATTACTTGCTGATTTGCAGTAAAATTTTTGTTCTAAAAGATTTTGTTAAAGTAGCAATCGAGAAACTGGATGTGAAAATAAGGAACTAGGAAATTAAATCTCTCGTTAATAAAATTTCTTCTCAGATATTTCTTTGTTCGTGAAGTCAATGTCACTCGGTTACTTAGTCCAGAATTTCAACACAGTTTGGACTTATATGATAAAGTAATGGAGTTTGATAGTAGAGGAATAGAACATGGATTATTTAATAAAGATGCTCATGGAAAACGATTTAAGCCAAAATGGAATATTTGGGGAGGTCTTTATTTTGCTGGAACTATTTTTACAACAATTGGTTATGGGGACATTGTGGCTGAAACAATCGGTGGAAAATGTTTAGTTGTGATATATGCCTTGATTGGAATACCTCTTAGTATGTTAGGAATTATTTACCTAAAATCGAGTTTCTTCTTGAGATAAGTCATGGGGCTGAAAATATGTATTTTATAATGAGGGGTACCTTAATATTACTTAGGCAGGTCATCCCACTGGCCAGTCTACAAATGAGATTCGACTGATTAAGAATCTAGAGAAAATTTTGTTGATTTCTAGAAAACTTAACAATAATTTTTTTATTATTTTAAGTTATTTCATTTCTAAATGTTTGGGGAAATGTTCTTCTTCGCGTTGTTCAATGTATTCTTTAATATTTTTATTTTTTATCCAAAAATAACTAAAAACTCTTTTAAGCATTTTGGTATGATCATTTGCTTCATAATTTCAAGAAACTGCCTGTTTTAGGAGAAAGGAGGGGAATAGTCCCGATGGAATCTGAAGTTAAAGTTATCATAAAAGTAGAGATATTGTTTAATATTTTTATTTTTTTTAAAGTTTTTGGATGAAGAAAATCAACTGAAAAATTATGAAAATTTAGAAAATAATGAACAAACAAGCAATACAGAAATTAATGAAAATTTTGATATTCAAAGACAAAGTGCTTTGGCTGTTAATAATAATATGGAACAGAAGAATGAGAATAGAGAGTTGCCGCTAAAAGTAAAAATAATATAATATGATAACAAATATTTAATTATTCTATCCAATTTTGCTAATTGCAAAATTACTGATAAATAAATTAAAATTTATTTATCAGTTTAAGATACATTGTTAATATAAGGTAACGTGGTTGAGTGCAGAGTAGAGATCGGAAATTTTGAAAAGCCTGGACCTGTTCCTGGACTCTAGAGTTTGATTTCCTGACCTGGACTGGATCCTGGGCCTGTAGTCCAGGAAAAGCTCAGGCCCAGGAAAAACCCATAAAGGTTAAAAATACCTGGACTCTGGGTACAGGAAAAACAAGCCTTGGTCCAGACCCAGGCCGATCTCTAGTGCAGGGTAGGAAGGAACTACCTAACTCAAATTTAAGGTGCTCTTCATTATAAGGTCCGATTTTTCAGGTTTAACTATTATACAACAATAGAAAACTTGTTAAAATAAATTAGTTAGCTTATAAAAATTTTTGTTTAATAGATAAGAACAGCTTCAAAAATCTTTAAAGATATTATCAAGTCTGAATATATTACCGATATATTACCGCTAATACATAATTACAAAAATAAAAATAATTATTTTTATTTTATTCCGAAAGGTTGCATTATTATTATTAATCGGTTGGATATTACTTTGTGCAACATTATTTACAATTTTCCAAAAATGGACATTCCTAGATGCTGCCTATTTTTTCTTTGTATCATTAACAACAATTGGCAAGAAATTAAAAATTTAAAATAAAATTAATTTCTTTAAAGGGTTCGGTGATTATACAACAGAACATAAAGTAGCTTGTGCTTATTTTATTTTAATATTAATTGGACTTGCTGTTGTTTCAATGTCTTTGAGAATTTTACAAATTAAAATGGAAAGTCTTTTTAACAAAATTTGCCGTTCTATAGATTCTGATTTTAAAAATAATTTAATTGGTTAATTTTTAAAAATTAATTTTAATATTATTTTGAGGATAATAAAGGATAATTTTTTGTTTAAAAAAATATTTTTAGAAGAAAAACAAACACATTCAATCTCAACAAGTACAGATAATAAAGTACAAGATATTGAACAATTAAGAGTCAATAATGGAAAGAATATTGAATTAGGCCGTGTGGAAGATAATGAAGGTAAATTTATTATCAAGGAACACCCCAACGTACCGCGAGGCCAACGTACCGCAGAGCTATAACTTCGTTCAAAATCGTCAAATCCGGGACGCAATGATATGTTTGATTTAGCTCATCGAGATGCATAGAACCATACCAAGGCGTCCCGGATTCGACTATTTTGAACAAAGTTATAGCTCTGCGGTATGTTGGCCTGCTCCCGTTATCAAGGAACGAATTTTTGTGAATTAATAAAATTTTGTAGGCAATACTGATGCTATTTACAAATATCGGAACTCTATGAGTCGTAGCGAAAAATTAATGGTACAAATGTTGATGGGACAACACTGGTAATGAAAATAAATTTAAATTAGTAAATTATTGTTTTTTAAAGGCGTAATATGCTTGACGAAAAACTTCGTTCAAGACGTAAAATGAGGAACAATTCTACACAAACTGATGATTTTTTAACTGATGCCCAAATTCAGACTGAACAAGTTAGAAGTTTACGTCCAATTTCCTCTTTGTTTACAAACCGTTCTGTGGAAGGAGAAGAAACTGATGTGAATTAAAATGAATATTTTTTTAAATTTAGAGAAATTTAGGATGATGAAGTTTCCGATTCAATTGGTCAACTTCCATCAACTCCAATCTCAAAATGTAGTGGAAGTATTTATCGAAGAAATAATACAATGCCTAATGCTGTAGCACGTCAGCATGCACGGGGAAGGGGGTTGGGACGTAAACGAATGTATATTTACAATACTGGTGATTAAATTGTGGAATATTATTAAGTATTTTTATGGGTAAATTTTGATAATTAAATAAAACCTTTAAAAAATTTTAATATAACAATTTTTTATACATACAACAAATTAGGCACAAGGTTAAAAGAAGTGAAAAACAAAAAAATTTGTTTGACAAAGTATAAATATCAGATGGATTATTAGAATATAATAATATGAGTGCCATTTATCACAGAATTTAGGACACTTTTAAGTTCCCAAAATTGAAGGTTCTTCTGAACCTTCAGTTCTTCTGACCTTCTTCTTAATAAAGGTTCTTCTGACCTTTTTCTTCAACTACGTGTTACGTCCTTTGAAACTCCGTCGTTGAAGAAATTGTCAAGAGAAAGTTCCATTTTCATTATCAATCATCGACGCTGAAGATGTTCTAATAATTGTCTGCTAGTACGTTTTGCACCGCTGGGAATTGCACCATTTGCATCCAGTCCAGCAGTGCGCGCAATAGCATCTGCTTGCATTTGGCGACAATAATGAATTAAAACTCTTTGATAATATTCTCGAGGTGTTAATGTTCTGGCTGTAGAGCATAATGAAGTATTCCTTTAAAAAAGAATGGTGAAAGTTAAAAATAAAATAAATTACAATTCTAATGATTCGCTTGAAGCTAGTTGACGATCAGAATTGAAAGACAATGTGCGGGGTTGCTCGATCCATTTGAAGTAGTAAATGTCCTGAAAAGGGGAAATTATTATCCAAAAATAGGAATTTTAAAAATAAGACCGGAGGAATGAATGGTCTTCCACCTATCCAATTTACATCAGGCTGTCGTCCATTGAGCAAACAATCCAGTAGATATTCCTAAAAAATATTTAATTACATAAAATTAAAAATTAAACACCTCTGGTAATTGCGCAAGTCTGTCAAGCTGATCAGGTGTCAACCCATAATTTTTTTGAAGAAAGGCGACATATGAGAAGACCTTAGAAGATATAATTTTTTGCAAAATATTAATTCAAATTAAATTTTAAAATTATTATTTAATTCCTAGTTTACCTCTCCAAGGTGAATAACCTTCCCACCAATAGTTAGGAAGGATCGTCCTAGTGTCCTTCCATAAAAATGAATATCTTTAATATATTCACTTCCAACTAGATCAATGCACCTATAAATCACAATAATATTTTAAATAAAAAAATATTATTTAACATTGTTGTGATTATTAAACCAACAACAATATAGGCAAGCGTTGCAGGAAGGAAATCAACATTTTGAGGGACTATATCTCCAAATCCAATGGTTGTAACAGTAACAAAACAAAAATAAAAAGCATCAACAAAAGACCAACGTTCCCATAGTTGCATAAGACAAGCTCCCCCAGCAGTATAGCAAAGCATAACTACGAGAATGAAGAGGACAGAAACACGGCGCTCTCGCCCTCCAATGCATTCTTCATCGCCATAATCTTCATCGGGTTCAAGCTATTTATTAAATTGGAATTTTTTAAGAATTTAAAAGATTGATCAATCACTTCTTCCTCTTCAGCCCCACCCAAAGCATCACTACTCTCTACACCCTCAAGCTCATCAGCCCTCGCTCGAGTATCTTCTTCACTGTTCTGTTCTATTTCTTCATGAACTGTTTTGATGTCGGATACGTCTTGGAAGGTTCCGGCTTCAGAAACTGTGTCTAGTTGGGGAGGGGGTGGGGGAGGTTTTAGCCGTTTCTGCGCTCGACGCATTGCTGCTAATCTTAATAAATCCAAATTTAAGTGTAGTTAGCATTATCATGTACCGAAGGTTTGGAGGCTTTAGTCGATCACTAGCTGCTGATTCCTCGTTATTGTTTGTATCCGTTGCAGGGCCAACTGTCTCGCGAGACATTTCTTCTATTGTAGCTAATGCTCCAGAATTCGGGCCGATATGGTTTGATTGATATTGTTGTCTGGATGCTTCCCCTTGTCTTGAGGACCCTAAAAATTTTTTTTAAAAAATTTAGACGTTAAAACAAAAGATGCTCTAACCGGAGACAGTTGATTCACTTGGAGCAATTGTTGTAGCTGTAGCTGATTTGTTTTTTGTTAAAGCCTTTGCAGCTTTAGACTGTTGCATCAATCGCCTCCTTCTCATTCTTCGTCGCCAAAAGTAGATACAGCAACGACACAAGAAAAACCGAAAAAACCAACTTAACCTCCTATAACAACCTCTACGTATAATACGTAAAGTTGAATGGATCCAGACAATGCCATTGGAGAGAAACCGCCCCATATCGGCAATTGTTACCAATACTGAGATTTTGAAGATTTATTTACACTATTAATATTCTCTTTACTAACTTAAAGGAATTCCAAATAATGCGTAAAGAAGGCAAGATATTCGTCCCTGTATTGTTAAAGGCACAATGTGGCCGTAACCAATGGTTGTTATAGCTGTCCAAGAGAAGAAAATACTTGAACCAAACGACCATTTAGTTGGACCCGAACCATAGATGATTTCGTCTGGAGTCATATAATTTTTAGTGTAGTCAATAAATACATCGCTAATTAAATTTTAAAATTATATTTTTTATTTTTCTCTCATTTATCTAAATACCGAATAACAGCATTCATTCCATTATTCGCAAAGTTAGCCCATTGTATAAATTCTGGGTCACTCCAATTAGGGGCATTTTGATTTGTTAATGTCCATAGCTGGACAATAACACGATCCTTTTAAGAAAAGATTTTGTTAAAATTATGAGCGTTAAATATTTTTACTTTTAATAATTGAACTCTATGTGCAGTCTCATTACGGATATGTTTCTCATTAGGCGTTTCAAAATGATGAAAAATTGCTGCACCTAAAAGTGTATACGCAGCGGATAACAGAATTAGTCCAAAATGGGGGAGAGCGATTCTAAATCGTTGTTTCCATAATTCTTTTCTGTTTTTGGGTTCGTCCCGGAATGTGACGGTCTGTTGCTGTTCATCTACATCAACACGTTCACTAGCTTCTTGGCGGTCGATATAAAGATTGAGTCGTTCCGCACTTGAAATTAAATTTTAATTTTGGGAACTCCTCATAATTTATTTTTTATTTTTTTCTAAAGACAGTTCCCATAATTTAATTTGAAAAAATAAAACAATAGCAAAGTACAGCTATATTTTCTACACAAACTCGACACCTGAGTTCAGCAACATCATTCAAATTGTATAGTGAAGAAGGAAGTGCTGACTGTTGTGGGGGTGCTAAAGTTCTATCACCACCACCTTGGGAAGGAATGGAAGAACGGTGTAAATGATGAGTAGTTGATGGGGAAAGGGTATGTCCAAAGTGGAACATGTGAGAAAAAACAAAGTTGAATAAAATGAAGAAAAATTATTACGAATATTAAGATGGCATTTTATAAATTTTGGACTAATTGACCTTTGAGAAAAATTTCTAAGAAAGGAGATTAAAGTTAAAATTGAGTAAAGCAGCTGGGCTAGAGCTATTTCTCTCCTTTAGCTAGTGCAAAAGGTTATTCGGCGACTGGGAGCGAACCAGCATCTTCAGTAGACAGGACTGATGTGTTAGCCATTGCACCACGCCGCCTACTGCACAGCCTCAGGAATTAAAAAGCTATATGCTTTACAAGTGAGAATAAATTTAAAATTAATTTTTAGAGTTCAAAAATAATTTTTAAAAAGATTTATTTGAAGCATTTTTTTAAATTTTAAAAATCATTTGGATTATTTTTTAAGTAAAATTGTTGGAAATGATTTGTTCTAAAATTGATTTTAGCTTCTGACTTTATTGCCGACAATGAAAGAATTCCATTTCCTATAGATTTTTGTTTAGAGAGCGTCATCTATCTTTTAAGGAAAAGCATGCGCAAATCCCTAGAGGATCTGTAAGGTCAGACCTATATATTAGCCGAAAATTGGAAAGAAGCGGGAAAATGATACAAAGAAATGCTTGTTGCTTAATGCTAAAAATGGAAGAAAGGAAGAGTTTTGATAAAATAGTTTACAAATTTGGAAGAAAGGTAATGGGTAAATTAAGCAATAAATTGAAACTTTAAGAAAGATAAAAAATAAAATAAGGGAATAAAAAAAGTTATTGAAATATTTTGCATAAATATTGGTGGGTTTTCAGGAAAATTTTTAAGAAATATTCAGGATAATACATATAATATATAAATATACTAAGTAATAAATAGACAGACTGGTATTTTTGGAAGAAAAAAGGATAATTTTTGTTTAAAGATATCTTAAAAATATTTTAATATATTGTTACATTAAAATATTTTTTTGCTGTAAAAATGAGCTTATTCATTTTTCGTTTTTACTTAATATTTAAAAATAGAATTAAAATTTTATTTACATTAGAATCTAGCAGTAGGAGTAATTTTTTATTCTCATTAATTTTTGGGACGAGGATTAGGTACCAATCCTCATAAATTGAGATGAGTTTATGAATGAGTTGAGAGTGGCTTGCGGATATATCCGGATACGGGTACAAAATTGTGTTCATTCTCAGCCTGTTGTTAATAAAATGTTTAGAAATTTGAAGGAAAGGTAATAAAGGGTAGATTAAGTAATAAATCAAGTATATTGAAAAATAGTTAGATTTTGTTTTTAAATTAAGAAAAATAAAAATACAAAAGTTTATTTTTAATAAATTACTTTATTAAATAAATTCAATGTTTATGTGAATATTTTACATAATATATTGCTTTTCAGGAAGAATTAAAGAAAATGTTCCGGAATTATTTTAATTTACTTATAATTTTGAGGATTATTTGTTAAGCTTTATAATTCTGGAAATATTTATTTTACAGTAGATTAATTTACTTTTTCTGGGCGATTAGAAAAAATATTCTAAGAATATTTTAATATAATGTTACTTTAAAATATTTTTGAAAATAAATTTTCTGTAAAAATTTTGTAAAAATGATTTTATTTACCTATCTTTAAATTTTACATAATATCTAAAAATCGAATTTAATTTTTATTTATTAAAATTCTATCTCAGACGTTCAATTATGTGTTTTTGGTCTAGTATACTAATTTTTGGGACGAGGATTTGGTACCAATCCTCATAAAATAAAATGCAGCTATTGATGATCTGATTTATGAGCGGGATTTACTTCCTTAATATATCCAGATACGGATATCAAAAAATGTAAATGTTCCGGAATTATTTTAATTAATTTTGTTTTTCTGGAATTATAGTGTTTAGAATCTTTCTTTATAATTATGGGAGTATTTATGTATTTTACTGAAGATTAATTTACTTTTTCTGGCCGATTAGAAAAATAATTTTTAAATGTCGCATCTTACCGATATAATTTGTGCGCAAACCTAGCTCTTGCAAACATTAAATATTGTAGTAAAATTTAAAATAAACATTCCTCTGGATTTAAATTATTTCTGTATTTAAATTCTTTCTCGATCATTCTTCGTTTAATTAATTTCATTTAATTTAATTTTGAAGGCTTCTTTTGATCTCCCTTCCCTTTTGACTTTTTTAAATAAAATCCAACAATAAATTAACGTATCAAAATAAAATAAATATTTTTATTACTTCTTTTTTTCTTTGATAGGAAGCCGCCGTTATTTTTTAGCTAAAACTGTTACTATATGAGAGAAGGATATGTTAAAATTCAATCCTGATCAATTTTTTAAACGTTCTTTTTTAAACGTCTTTTTTATTAGTCGTTATAGATTTTAAGATCACTTGTTGTCAAATTTTGTTGCAAATAATAACATCAATAATTTTTAAATTAAAAAAAGCAAAGCAGAAATGAGTAGTTTGTTTTTAAAGCTCTTTTTATGAAAAGCTTTTTTTTTCAAAAGGTAAATTAGTATCAAGCACACAGTCCAAAAAGGTGGCACAATCCAATTTTGTGTGGTTTGAAGAATGGGCATCAGTCCAATTTAAATAGCTGTCGAATTCCCTCCATTTTTTTTGCTTTTTTCCTTTCCTCACTTTCAATTTTCACACATTCCTCAGTCATTTTTACCGACAAAAACATCAAAAGTCGATTTTTGTTGTTGCACATTATTGTTATCCTTCCTTCCTTCGGCACCCGTCAAATACCTTATTTTAATTTCTGATGCAATTGTTAGTCTATAAATGGATGTAAAAGAAGACTGGCAGCTAACTAAAGACAGCTCTGCGTGCATTTTCAATTTTTTTCTTCAAATTTCGATGCATACCGTTGTGCTTGTTTTTCAGTTAAGATATACACCCTGTGGTCCAACAAATGGTTGCGTATTATTTTTGCACTATTCCTCTCGTTTTTTATGCCACCGCGCTTTTTCGAATGGTTACCGCTGTGAAATTATTAAGGAACGTTGTAATTATATATTTGGGTTGGGAATATTTTTATTGATAAATTTTTTGTTATTTTTCAAGGAATTTTTTTGCTTTGGATTTTAAAAAAATATTTTTTTGGTAATATTAAATAAAAACTTTATTTTAAATAATTAAAAATAATTCCGGAAACATTTGTTTACAATTTTTGAAAAAAAGTTTTAACATCGGATGAGTGATACGAAAGACGAGATGATATTAAACAATAAAGTCCTTGACCATAAAATGAACTACTACCCTTATACCGTATATCCTTTAATAACTACCCTGGGTAATTATTGTTTCGAACTTCCGCTGGAGGGAATAATTAATCGAGGGGGGGGGGGGGGGGGTAATTATACGAGGTTTGAAATTTGAACGTGTTTTAGGGCATTTGTTTGGGGGTAGGTATTGTACAATTAATACAGGTTATACGGTAGTTAAAAAATATTAAACTTAATTTAAATACCAGCTTTAATGTGGGATCTTTACTTAAATATAAAATTATTTTCTGGCAATAAAAATTTTTATAAAAAATGTTTTGAACAAAAATGTCTCAAAAGTCTCAAAAAACAATAAAAATTATAATAAAATATTTTTTGGACATAAAAGTGTCTGGTAAAGTTATAAAATATTGTGAGATATTAAAAAAAGAGGAGACTGAATTGCCAGTTTATTGGCAATTTAAGAGATGAATAATGAGGAAGAATTGCAACTGACACATTACTCTTTTTTGTGACAATATACAGCTACTATAAATATTTATTTTTCCCCTATTGCCATAATTAGGGAACGTCGGAGGTTTTTTACTTTTAAAAAATAAATACAAGCTTTTAATGTAAGGAAATCTTTTTTTTATTCAAAAAAAGACAAAAACGTAAAAAATAAAAGGGTTTAGATTCCCCCAATTTTTAATCCAGATGCTACCAAATCCATTTAAGGTTTATTCCTTCCTCGATAATATGGCGGTCGGAACGGGAAGAAAAAAGGATAATAGAATAAATTTAAGAAAGGGATGAAAAGACATTTATGTTCTAAATGGATTTGACAAATTTGGGAGGAATTTATGAGGAAATAATATGTAATGTGTTAATAAAGTGGAGAGATTAGAAAATGGGAAGTATTTGATAATGTTTTTCTTAGGGGTTTTATCATTTTCAGATCTTATTCTTATTGAATCTTGAAAAAAAATAGCGAAGGGAGGAATGAGAACATAAAATTGAACAAGAAGATTATTTTAAAAAATTAAAAAAAAATAATTCCATATATGTATCCGTAACTTAATATGAATAAATATTAGGGTTGTTCCGGGGGAGGGCCACGGGGAACAATTTTCGAGGAGGAAGCGCTGGGGAACGGGGAATTTTCAAAAAAATCTCTCAAATTCCCCGACTTTCAGGGACGGGGAGGGGAATAACACTAATAAATATATAATATAGATCCATATTTACAAATAAATAATTTTTATAATTTAGATTGTTATAATAATTTAGCCTAAAAAATCTGTCAATTACCGCTGAAAATGATGATAGTTACTATTATTATTAAAATAATAATTATTTTTGTTATAAATATTTTGTTGTTTTTGGATATATTCTTCAAATAATTTTAAATTACTTTTTCGTTGTTCTATTTTATCAACATCAATTAAAGTGTCTATTTGAGGTAGAGAGGGCATTGGGGGATTTTTAAAATTTAATTTACAAGGAAGAGAAAATAATAATTTTTAAAAAAATTTTTTGATAAAGGGAGAAATAAACTTTTGTTTTAAAAATTGTTCGAATGTGATTAAATGGAAGAGATAAAAGAAAGAAAAATCTCTCAAGAATTAATTGGCGGCAAAAAACAATGCAGACAGGGAACGGAATAAAAAAAACAAAAAAAATCTAAAAAAATTCCTGCTGGGTTACTAATTTAAATTTTTATAAAAAATAAATATAAATGAATAGTGGAAGAATAAACTTTAAAATATTTTTAGAAAAATAATAAATAATATTTAAATTAATAAAATAAATACAGCCAATGATTCCTTAGGGATTGAAAAAAATCAAATTATTTATAAAAGAATTTTATAAAATAAAGTTATATGTATAGAAATTAAAGTTGGATGTTTTATTGACTTAAATTAAAATAATAATAAAGCTAAAAAATAATTCTGGAAAGGTAAATTTGTTCAGGTGCCTGATTAATCTCTTTATTAAGGGCCTGATTAAAGTCAGAATTTAATAAAAATATTTCAGCTAATTTCTGTGGATTAGTATGGTGCCCACAAATTCTGTGATTCTGTGAAAACATCTGTAAAAACCTCATCAAATTTTGCGAATGTATTCTTGTGGTTAATAGAAGTAGCTCTAGGAGAGCTCTCCCAAACACGACCCATTTTCCCCTTATTTTTTTAATTTAAATATTTAGGGCTCTGGTTTAGAACATGCGCCCCATGAATTTTTAAGCGTCCCAACAGTAACCTATAATCTATTGGGACGCTTAACCGCATAAAAGCTTAAAAGACGCAGCCCCAAACTTAATTCGAATCCTTTTATATTAAAATTAACTTTTAAGAATTAAAAAAAAATTTTTTACCGTTGTTTCATTTTAATCAAATCAGTATCATCTAATCTAGCAGAAGCACGTAACCTTTGAGTAAATTTTGATTGAATTGTTAAATTTTCTAGTTGTAAAGGCATCATTCCCGCCCCTCCAGAGTTATTTTGTTCTTTCCATTCAATTTTCTTTTTTTCATGGCAACGGACCTTTGCACCTCTCCCACTTTTAATACTTCTAGCAGATCGGTTTAGCCCTCTACTCGAAGGATAATTGCCTTAAAAATAATAAAACGAATTAAAAATAAGGTAAGCCAATAAAATAAACAATTAAAATTTTTAGTTGTTTAAAATAATATATTTTTATTTTTTTACTATAATACCTATATATGTTAGGATATGTACACTTAATATTATATATAATATTTTCTTGATTTGTTTGCCTGTTGAGTGTGACAGCTGTATAAACATCACCCCCCCCCCCCCCCAATAGAGTATTACTCAGACTAGGACATGGATACGGATATTGTAAAAATGCCTGCGGATATCCGTCTGTACCGCCGTAAATATCCCGATACGGATACCAAAATCAGTATCCGTGTCCTAGTCTGGTACTACTAACTCCGTTGTAAATTACAATTTCTAGTTTCAAATATTTTTCCTATGCTTTGTTTATAAAACTTACAAGAAAAACTCTTAAATTCTACATTTAATTTCATATGTATTTTTTATTAATTTTTATTTATTTATTTAATTTATTTTATATTTTTTTATTCAATTTTGAAAATTCAATAATTATCAAATAAAAAATCCATAACACATGCCAAAAATACATTCTCGCGCGGCGTTATAACACGTAGCTACTACCTCCTCTCCTTATAAAAAAATTTCCAATAAATTTAAATTTAATTAAAGCATTTATTCTGCCTCTATTCACTTTTAATTTCTCTATTCACTTTTAATTCTCTTTCAATAAAAAATTATAAAATATAAATAAAAGATTATAAAATAAGAATTGGCAATTAAACTCTTAAAGATGGAAGGGAAATAAAGTTAATAAGTAAGGATAGAGCCGGTATTCAGAGTTGATAGAAAAGAATGTTTTATCAAAGTATTATATAATAGTGATATGCCGGATGTCCGATCCCCTTGGGAAAATTCCAGGAGTTTCTCGACTTCTGATACAAACTCTACCAATATCAAAATTTACATCCCTAAAGATGCTTTATCGAAAATAAATTTGAATTTTAGAAAAAGTAAAGAAATTTCTCTTTGATTAAACAAATTATGACTCTTTTAAAATTATTTGGAATTTTTATTTTATTTTTATTAATTTTAAATTATATCCAAAAAACTGAAGGCGGTAAGGATAAAAAGACTGGGAAGGAGAAAGAGAAGAAGGAACCAACAAAACGTGAATAAATATTTGAATGTATTTAATTATTGAATTTTTAACTAAGGGTTTCTATTGAAAAAACTAAAAATAATTTTTATAATCTAGGCCGAATTATACATTTTGGCGAATTTCCTACGGAGATTCCTGATGAAGGTTCTTCATCATCGAAAAATGAAAATAAAAAAGGTAAATGATTTTCTAATTGTCTACTTAAATAAATTAACATTTCCGCTTTTTCAGATGAAGAAAAAACTTTTCATAAAAATGTTCAAATGGTAAAGTTAATTATATAATAGTATAATATAATTTAAAATTTTAAGCTTTTTGATTGGGCAAAAAACAATCCCAATCAGCACCATCAGCAATTTCCACTTCATGGACAACAATTCCACCAACAACCTGCTTATCATCATCATCCACAAGTTCCACCTTACGGATACTATCCCGATCCGTTAATTTTTATAATTTAAGTTATCTAAATTATTCCCTTTATTTAGTTTTGTTTATGGAGTTCCTTATAATCCTCATCTTAACCAACACATTCCAATTTACTCAACTTTAACTACCTCCGTTCCTCTTGGCGATTCGCAGAAAGGAGAGCAAGGCAAGTAATCACCAAACTGGTATCAGTTTTTGTTATAACAATTAAATTTTAAGATGAAAATTATGATGATAAAGACAACACTGGAGAATAGACATCGGAGACTATCATCAGAATAGAGCAAAGAAAGGAAAAGAACATTTTACAAGAAAACATAAAAAAAACTTTCATTTTTATTGGGAACAGGCCAACGAACCGTCAAGCTATAACTTCGTTCAAGATCATCGAATCTGGGACGCACTGATATGGTTCTTTATAACTCGATGAGCTGAATCGAACCATATCAGGGTTTCCCGAGTTTGATACTTTTGAACGCAATTATAGATAGGCGGTACGTTGGGCTCGTGTATATTTGTGTAAACCCATTTTTACCATATTCAGAGAATAGAAAAAAACTCCCCTAAACATTCACTTTACCTCCCCTCCCGTAACAATTTGGGTATTCTCCTAACATCCAAACAATTCCCCTACAGTCATTTAAGCAACTTTATTTTTGGCCTCTACTACCTCCTCCTATCACCTCTCCCGTATCCAAACTAACACTTTTTTAAATTATTTAGCTAGCATAACATTTTTGTTTATTTATTTTATATTCAAGTAGTATAAATTTCTTCACTCAGTTTTCTCTTTAAAATGTTATTTATTAAGTTGAAATTAATTCCAAAAAATATTTTTCTTTATTTAATTAAAACCTGTTTGACGTTCAGTTACAAGGTGTAACTGTAGCGGGACAAATGCTGAAGTTGATTGTGAAATTGGTGGGGATGTTAATGATTCGAAATTGCCAGAAATACTTTTTGGGACTTTACTAAATAATGAAGAGGAGGAGGATTGAGGTATTGAATATAGTTGGTTATTATTATTGTTATTATTTTGTGAATATGATGCCCCTGTAATTGAAGATGCTGTTGTGGAACCTGTGGAAGCTGAATGATGCATTCTCATTACTAAACCCTTTTAAATATTTAAATAAATATTACAAAAATAAATTAAATAGGTGAATAATGAAAATACGGGTAGAGATCGAACGATTAATATTCGATCGAATAATTTTGTATATTTTGAATTTGAATTTTTTACAATGGAAAGAGATTATATGTACGTAAATATTAAAGAACCTTTAAATTAAAATTAAATTTCTATAATAACTTTTATAATGTAAAACAAACAAAAAAACATTGTTAAAAAATTTTTGTATTATTATTAATAATTTTTGTATTAATAATTTTTAATAAAAAATTTTTGTAAAAATTTTTGTATTTTATTTAGAAATTAAATCAATATACTGTAACAATTCTACAAAAATTTTGAGTTTTTTTTGAAAATTTTTTCTGAACAAAAAATATTTCAAGTTAAATATTAGAATATAAAGATTTTTATAAGATATGGGTTTTCTACATATAAAGATTTTTTAAATTATTTAGTAAAATTCTTTTATTTAATTTTTCTGCAAAAAATATTGAGAATAGCAAAAATAAAAATGTTTAGTAAATAAATTATATTTTTAATTAACTAATCTAATAATTAATTAAAATAATTTTTTATTTATTAAAAAAATATTTAAATAAAAACAGATATTTTTCTTTCTGTTTAATTCAATTAAATTTAGCTTTTATTTAAATAATTTTTTTAAAGTTGAAGGATAATAGTCTACACTGCTCCACATAACTATAACCTCACCCTAAATTTTCAAATTTCTTAACTTCTACCGAATCAATCAGGATGATTTTTATTTTTTATTAATAAAAGCAGGTAACAATTCATATGAACCCAAGAAATCGAAAAAAATTTTATTCGAAAATTTTTTATCCAATTTTTTCAAAAAACACCCTCCACATAACTATAACCTCACCTTCAGAAATCATATTAGGAATGCTCGAAAAATTTTGCAAAAATTCACGAAAACTTTTCCTTTGATATTAAGTAGAAAACAAAAAGAACGAAGTCTTTAAGTGCTTTTTTCATCGAGATCCAAAATCGCGAAAATCAACGGGAAATGGGGGGTACAGTACTTAAAAAATATTTTTACAAGTGTAGACTGTAGATAAAATTTTTTATTATAGTCCATCTGAAAGCCCACAAAATTTGCTACAAAAAACACTTAGTCCTATCATCGAGAAAAATTTTATCACTGGGGAGCAATCGGTTAAATTTAGAAACTCGAAATAATGATATTTTATGGGGTGATTTGGGTGAATTCGTTAATCATCTTATTTAACACAAGTCTACTCGAAGGTAGAATTTTTGTCCTGGATAGGACCTAGTGCATTTTGTAGCAAATTTTGTGGGCTTTCAGATGGACTATAATAAAAAATTTTATCTACAGTCTACACTTGTGAAAATATTTTTTAAGTACTGTACCCCGCATTTCCCGTTGATTTTCGAGATTTTGTATCTCGATGAAAAAAGCACTTAAAGACTTCGTTCTTTTTGCTAATCGCTTATTATCAATGGAAATGTTTGCGTAAATTTTTGTAAAATATTTCAAGCATTCCTAATATGATTTCTGTGGGTGAGGTTATAGTTATGTGGAGGGTGTTTTTTGGAAATATTGGATAAAAATTTTTTAAGCAGAAATTTTTTAGATTTCTCAGGTTTATATGAATTGTTAACTGCTTTTATTAATAAAAAATAAAAATCAGCCCGATTGATTCGGTAGAAGTTAAAAAATTCGAAAATTTAGGGTGAGGTTATAGTTATGTGGAGCAGTGTATAAGAATGCCATAAAATATATAGTAGTAAGATTAAGTAGTAGATGGATTGGAGATTGTCTTTTCTCTCCTCTTCATTCAAAAATTCCTTCTTCAATTCCCCTTCCTTCTTCTTCCCCCTTCTTTTAAAATAAATACTTTTATATAAAAATAAACTTTTCTGTGCAACTTCTTCTCCCCCTTTTATTTTTATTTCCAACATTTTTTTACTTTCTTCAATACCAAAAAAAAGTTTTTCTTCCTGGAAAAAAACTCCCTGAAGACCAACCAAAAAGGAAAGTCAATAGCTTTATAAATATAAAAAAGCAAAGGGCAATAAAAGGATTTTTTAAATAAAGTGTCAATGAAAAATATAGAAATTTTAAAAATGAAAGAATGTAGGGAGTGGGAAGCTTTTTTTGGAATTATCAGATTTTGGATATTTTTCTATTTTATAATGCCGTTTTTTGCAAAGATTTGCATCTCAATTTAAAATCTTTCGACACTTCAAAAATTCTACTGATATATTTTTTAGTAAATGAAAGAAATGAAAATTTCTGTAAAAAATTTGTAGGAAAAAAAGTAAAAAAATATAATTTAAATAAAATACAGAAAAGTAAAAAACATGTAGTACAAAATTTGGACCGTAATTTAAAATACAACAAAATTTTCAAAAAATATTTTAAAGATATTTTTGAAAAATTTGGTTGGTTACAACGTGGGGGAGCTATCTAAATAAAGGTTTATGTACATAAATTCGATGTTTTAAATTAAATTAAAGCATTTTTACCTCCTCCTTTATTCCTTTATGTATTTCTTGTAGATAATAAAATATTAATTATTATAAAACAAAAAAGTTTCCCAATACATACTTAATTTTATTTATAAAGGACATTTGTTTAAATTGTTGAAAGAATTTCATGGAAAATTTAAAATAATTGTTCTATGTACAAAGAAAATAAAGGGAAAGCCTTTCTAAAATAAAAGATGGTTTTACCTAACTTGGGACTTGAAAGATATTTTTAAAATTACATTAATAATTCTTATAATGTATTTAATTGAAGCTAAGTTTAAGTAAATAATTGGATTACATAGAACAGTTTATTTAATTAAGCTAAAAAATTTTTCTTAATTAATCTTTCAGCAGATATTATTATCAATAGCTAAAAAATTAACATAAAAAGCCAAAAAAATTTTTTAAAGAATTCTGCTAAGAATAAAAATATTTTTTATTTAGACATAATTAAATTCCTTTTAAATTTTTAAAGTAAAATTATTTTGGGGAAGAAGGGTTAGAAAGGCTTTGTTGTGACCTATTGCTGTTTTTGTGTTCCTTGGGGAGCACAATTAAAAATTGAATAAAAAAATATTTTTTTAAAGTTGAATGAAAAGAATGAGGAAATAAATAAAAAAATAAAAATAAATAAATATTTAATTTTGTCCATAAGGAAGTACTGAACATACATATCTTATAAATACATAATAACTAGTGTTCAACACCGGCCCGATTTTTACACAGTCCGTGCCTTTCTAGAGTCCTAGTCCTAAAAATTTTAGGCGATCTCCTGATTAGTGCAAGATTCAGAAAAATATCTTATCCATTTTGGCATTAAACGAAATCTCAAATTCAGTTTTCGGACCCTAATAAATAATTCTTCGGGCACTAATAAAAGCTCAGACTTGTAATTTTTAGTATTTTTCATAATATACATACTTTTTATTGTCTTCAAGATTTATTACAAAATATTGCAACAGTCATTTTCACATTAATACATCGCAAAAATAATATTTAATAAAATTTTTAAATTAAGTCTAATAAATATTTATCTGATTAATAAATATTAAACATATTTATTGTTAAAAATGATTCATAAATAATTGTTTAATAATTTTTGACTTCAATGGCCTTTTTTATTAAATTCGACATTAATAAATTATGCTTGTGATATTTACGTTTTTGGAAAAATTTACAAAATTATCTAATCATTTAACAGTCAATTTTTGTATTAAATGTTAGAATTTAATCATCATTGTGCCTATAAAATGCTTTGAGTTTGCAGTATCCAGCATCACTTCTCAATACATTCTACCCTCAAAAATAAATATGAAAATAATTTTATTTATAATCAGCTTTACATTACTTCTTCATGAAGCATCATTGTCAGGTCCAGACACCATCGTAAAACGCAATGCTTATGGCCCTCCACCGCCTCCACCGTATGTGCCTCCACCGGTTAAATATGGCCCTCCACAACCGCCTCCATACGTGCCTCCACCTTATGTGCCACCAACACCAGCACCAACTACTCCAAAACCATATGTACCACCACCACCGGTATATGCTCCACCACCAGCTCCTCCAGCACCACCGGTTTATGCTCCACCACCTTCACCACCAGCTCCTCCAACTTATGCTCCACCGCCTCCTCCATCTCCACCACCACCACCAGCATATGCTCCACCACCACCAAGGTAGTCTCGAATCTAATTTTCTCAAAAATTCTTTTTCAGCTATAAAGCGCCCCCAGCTGGTGAATGGCATTATGTAGAGAATCCTTGGAACAAGCCACAACCCCCAGCACCAACAACACCACCAAAATACGCACCACCAGCTCCTCCTGCTTATGGCCCTCCTCAACCACCACCTGCGCCACCTGCTCCTCCAGCATATGCTCCACCACCCCCACCTTCTCCACCACCACCGGTATATGCTCCACCACCAACACAACCTCCACCTGCCTACTATCCTCCTCAGCCATCATATATTCCGAAACCTAGTTTTTGAATGATTAATTGAGAAAGAAAAATATAAATAAATTATAAAAAATAATTCTGTGATATCCTTTTAATATCAATTGTTGCTCTAATTTTGAAAAGGAATAAATTATTTATAAATTATTTTTATTTAATTATGTAGATTTTTAATTAGCATTAAAAATAATTTTATTACTCATTTAAAAATATTACTAATAATTAGGGTTAGGGTTTTCGAGTTTGGGCTGGCCTGACCGAGTCATTTTTTCGGGCCGGCTTGAGCGAATGTTTTTCGGTCCAGAATTCAATGCCCGACTTAATTTTTCGGACAGGGCCGGATCGGGACCCCGACCCTGCTAATTATTTAGACAAAAAATAATAGCTTAAATATTTTTTTAAAACAAAATTATAAATTAATCGTTCAGATTGATCTTATAAAATATTTTAAACACATAAAATCAAAAAATATAGATTACTCTGGATTTTGCTGTAAAGTCACCAAGAGTAGTTTTTCCATAAGATAAAATCGCGTAGGTGTAAAATAAAAATGTATTTAATTTTTATTTCTTGCTAAATAAAGTTTTTAATGAAGAATATATTAATTACAACATTTAAATAATATTTTTTAATTAATGAAATTTTTGCTGGTTTTTATTTGTAAAGAGAGATTGTGTAGCTATTTTGATCTCAGATTTTCTAATTATGGTCTATTGTTTAAATTAGGGTAGCAACCCGACCCCCGATCACGAACTCCGACCCAAGGGTCTCTCTCCCCCAGGCAAACCCCGATCCCCGACACACCCGCCCCCGAAGAGTCGGGTTGCTACCCTAGTTTAAATATTTAATCTCAAACTTGATTACATTCTGATTTTTAAATTACCTAATTAAGCTTTACTTTTAATTCCCAAGCTGGATTGCTTCAATTTGTTCTCAATTGCTTCAATTTTTTATTTTGATTTAAAAATCATATTAAACTATTATATTAATTATTTTATTATATATTATATTTATAATAAATTCTTTAACAGTTCTATCCACTTTCATAAAATGTTACATTCTAATAAAAACACTCATCATATGATTCATTTTAAAGAAATTAACATTAAGTAAAGCACTCCCCTCTCACAAATATATATCTTCATTATTTCCCAAATATTCTTTCCTTCCTCCTTTCATTTTTTTATATTTTTGCGCATTTGTTTGTTTCCTCAAAAAATTTGTTTGATCAAAAATATTATGGCTGGAGATAGAGATTTTGGTGCTTATCAAAAAAGTAGCCACTCAAGAAGTCCTTTTTTTATTTTCCACTTAATATAAAAATATTTTTAAGTACGAGTCCGATAATTTTTTGAACGTTGCTTCTGTTCAAAAAAGCAAATAATAAACAAAGTAATTTTAAAGTGTCTATTAGAAAGCAACATTTCTTGATAAAAAAAATCCCGTTATTTGTTGCTAAATCAATTAAATTTATTAAATACTGTATAGTTTTTGTTTTAAATAATTTTTAAATTTATTTTTAATAAATCTTTTTAAGTTTTTTTAAAATTATTATAATAAGTAGAGTTAAACTTTTCAAAATGCCGGGCCCGGGACCCGGTTTTTTTTTCTCAAAATCGCACCCGGACCGGTTTTTCCGGATAAAACCGGAAAAACCGGTTAGCCCGGAAAAACCGGATTTTTTCAGACCCGGGCCCGGACCCGGTTTTTTTCTAAATTTATTAAAAACATAAAAAAATTATCACACATACAAAGGATCGATTAAAGGATAGATGAATCAAAGGATAGATTCATCTATCCTTGAAAAAAAATTTTCCGCAGCCGCGATCCGCAATTGTAATTATAAAATCCGCAGTCCGCAATTTTGTAGTCTGGGAAAATAAGTGGATTTGACTTTTCAAGCGCCGCAGGCAAAAATTTTGAAAATTTTGAAAAGCCAACAAGCCAGATTTCTTCTTTTTTACGCCGGAGGCGAAAATTTTGAGAATTTGTGTAGACAAGGGGCTAGATTTCTTCTTTTTCTAGCGCCGCAGGCGAAAATTTTGAGAATCTCGGAAGGCCAAGGTGCAAAATTTCTTCTTTTTTCAGCGCCGCAGGCGAAAATTTTGAGAATTTCGAAAGGCCAAGGAGCAAAATTTCTTCTTTTTTCAGCGCCGCAGGCGAAAATTTTGAGAATTTCGAAAGGCCAAGGAGCAAAATTTCTTCTTTTTTCAGCGCCGCAGGCGAAAATTTTGAGAATTTCGAAAGGCCAAGAGGCCAGATTTCTTCCTTTTTCACCGCCGGAGGCGACTCTCCGGGCCCGGCAAAAAATTACCGGGCCCGGGACCCGGTTTTTTTACTCAAAATCGCACCCGGGCAGGTTTTTCCGGATAAAACCGGAAAAACCGGTTAGCCCGGAAAAACCGGATTTTCTAAAAAATACCCGGTTCCGGGCCACCGGGCCCGGAAAAAAACCGGTCCGGGCCCGGCCCGGGTTCGAACTCTAATAATAAGCCGCAACTTGAGACCACACCAAAAAACACATTTCTGCTTATCTTGGAAAACATGTTTTTTTAATAATTGGATGAAAACATAATAAAATAAAAGTACATACTTTCGAATCAAGAAAAATTTTAAGGAAAATGATTAAACATAAAAAATAGTTGAATTTTGGACAGATATTTTCGAGAAATTACAATTAACTAAAATTAAATAGCGTGCCAGCTATTTTAAAATATCGGAAAATTTTTTCTAATTTAAACAATCTCCTTAACATTTTTTAATTTTCTCGACATAATACATAACTTTTTATTTTTCCTATTTTATTTAAATAAAATTTTTGTTTACCTACTTAATTTATTTAAATATTTATTAAAAAGTAAATTTAACATTTCGTTTCTACTAAATACATATCACATTTCTTTCGCTTACCTTCAAAATCGCATATAATTTTTTTTATTTTTTTTTAATTTTGAGAAAAGAGAAATATAATAATAATAAATACTTTATCTTTAATTAATCATGGCTCTTCCTGAAAAATTTCTAAAAGATCCTGCTTGGCCTTATCTGCGCCAAAGTGAAGCTAAGGTTATTGCCAGTTAATAAAAAATATTTATTTTTTATCAGTTATTAACAGCCCAACATTTAACTTCTGGAAAGAAATTTGATCCAAAAAGGAGCGTTTGGATTCCTGATCCTGAAGAGGGGTTTATTGCTGCCGAAATAAAATCGACGGTTACTCCATCATTAACCAAAAATGGGGCGGAAATGATAACTGTTGTAATTAATGACAAAGGAATTGAGAGGAAACTGGCAAAGGAAGAGGTTCAACCAAGGAATCCCCCAAAGTTTGAAATGAGTGGTAAATTAACAAATTTTATATTTAATCACTTGATGTGTATAAAAATCCAAATAAAACAAATAATGGGTTGACCCAAAAAGAATGAGCCCTTTGATATGATCCTTAATGGCAAGAAGTAATAGATAATAATGGGCAATACATCGTTTCTTGATTGTTTTTTGTTTTTTTGTTATAGTAAATTATTTGCATTATCCATAAAAGGACTCATCCTTTTTGGGTCAACCCATTAACATTATTAAGGATAATTATGAACATTTGGAGAAGAATAATTTTTATATTTTCTTAAGTAAGGTCTAAAGTAAGGTCTAAAACGCAGAGATCCAAATTCCCCAAAAAGGGAATTTGTTTTTTACGTCGACTATATTCCTGATACATAACAGGGATGTTGCTAATCTATTTCAAAAAGCTAAACGGAAAAAAAACTAAACAGCAAGCAACATCCGCGATAATTTGTAAATATTAGCAATAGTATAACAATACTTTTAAAAACATTTAAACTGTTTAATAATTTAATTAAATTAAAGAGGATATGGCCGAACTAACACACCTCAACGAAGCTTCTGTTCTTCACAATCTACGGCAACGATATGCTAATACAATGATATATACATATTCTGGGCTTTTTTGTGTTGCAATTAATCCATATAAACGTTTGCCAATATATTCTGAAAGTGTTTGTAAAATGTATATTGGTAGGGCCTATTTTTTTGAATAATTATAGTAAAAATAGTATCTCAATATTTATGTTAATTTATTTTAAAATTTAATTTTTTAATTATTAATTTAGGAAGGCGTCGAAACGAAATGCCCCCACATATTTTTTCCATATGTGATGAAGCTTATAGAAATATGATGAATGAACAAGGTAATTAAGAGATTGGAATTTTCCAAAATTATTTTTGAAAAAAGAGAATCAATCAATGTTGATAACGGGAGAATCTGGTGCCGGAAAGACAGAAAACACCAAAAAAGTGATTGGATATTTTGCTGTGGTTGGTGGGCCTAGTGGAGTTTCAACAACGAGAAGACGGAGCAGTTCAAGTAAAGATACAGCGACATTGGAAGAACAAGTAGTCCGGACTAATCCTGTTTTGGAAGCTTTCGGTGGAAATTTTTGTTATTAATTGAGAATTTATTGGTAATCAGAGGTGGGTCGGAATCAGGGGTGGGCGCATTGCGTTTTGCGTTATTTGCGTTAAATTTTGGCCTTTTTTTTTGCGTTTTGCGTTTTGCGTTTTTTTCGATGAAATTAACGCAAAAAATATCCCCAATCTGAGGACAAAATGGGAGAAATCTGGCTTCTTGGCCTTCCAAAATTCTGAAAATTTTCGCCTGCGGCGCTGAAAAAAGGAAGAAAGTTGGCTTTCTGGCCTTCCAAAATTCTCAAAATTTTCGCCTGCGGCGCTGGAAATGCAAGAGGGATAAAGTGACTAACAAATAAGTGGAAATTATCGGCGGAATTGAAGGGATAGAAGACTATCGGTCGATGGGATTAGGCTGGATTTAAAAAGATATCGGGAATTTGTAGTGATATCCTGCTGTATCTCTTCAACCCCTGATACCTACTATATGCTCAAATCCCTATTATCTTTCTAATCCAAGGGCAAAAATTGAAGAAATCTAGCTTCTGTCTTTCTAAAATTCTCAAAAATTTTTTTGCGGATCTCAAGTTATCTCATCTCAGTTATCCTCCAAATCAACTGATATCCCCGGAGTTAATTTATAAATACTGATAGCCCTTTATCCTCCGTTATCTCCCTAACGAACCCGACATTTTTCAGTAATCCCATGGTATCTTTTTAAATCTCCTTGATCGCTCCAGTTTACATGATAATCTCCGTAATCCCCCGCCACTTCGTTAAACCCCTTGATCCCTCTAAATCCTCTGATATCTTCCATAATCCCTCTAAATCCTCTATATCTTTTCAAAACATTATTCATCAAACTTACATGTATCACAAAATCAATTAGGACATGCTGACTTATAGTAATACACCCATTTTTAACTGAAAAATGTCTAAAACTTAATTTAAAAAATTTTTTTCCCTATTTTGCGTTCTTGCGTTTTGCGTTTTGCGTCTTGCGTTATTTGCGTTAAATTTTGGCCTTGCGTTGCGTTTTGCGTCTTGCGTTTTTTGAGATTGTCTCTTGCGCCCACCCCTGGTCGGAATTCCAATTTCCGACGTTTTTTTCCTTCCGATTTCCGAAAAAATTTTGATTTCCAAGTTCCGACTTTTTAGCCAGTTCCGATTTCCGGCTCTTCCGATTTCCAACACCTCGGACTGTTCCGACCCACCTCTGTTGGTAATTGAGGAAATTTAAGGAAATGCAAAAACAATAAGAAATAACAATTCTTCACGTTTTGGAAAATTTATTCGTATACATTTTAACAAAGCTGGACGATTGACGGGAGGAGACATAGAACATTGTAATTAAAGAATATTAAATTTTAAATTAAATTTAATTAAAAGATTTGTTGGAAAAATCTCGTGTAATAAAACAATTGGGAGGAGAAAGATCCTATCATATTTTCTATCAAATAATGTCTGATGGAATTAATGGACTTAAAAGTCAGAGATTTTTAAAGGAAATTTCTTTAATTTTTATTTTTAAAGAAAAGCTTTATTTAAATCGCCCAATAAGCGATTATCATTTTGTTGCCCAAGCAGAGGTTGCTATAGAAGGATTAGATGATAGGGAAGAAATGTTAATTACTGATGAATCTTTTGATATTATGAAGGTGTTTTAATTGACAAAAAAAATTTTTAGAATTTTTAATTTAAAGTTTACTGAAAAAGAAAAATTCGAAATGTATGCCCTAGTTGCTGCTGTAATGCATATGGGGGAAATGCGCTTTAAACAACGTCCGAGAGAGGAACAGGCTGAGGCTGACGATATTAAAGGTGTTTAATTTAAATTTAAAGCAGAATTTTTTGTCAAATTTTAGAGGGTGAAATAGCTTGTAAACTTTTTGGAGTGGATAAAGATGCTTTTTTAACTGCAATTCTCCGACCACGTGTAAAGATTGGTGCTGAATGGGTTAATAAAGGCCAAAATTTGGAACAAGTGAGAAAATAAAAATTTTGTTGATTATTACTAGGGTTGTTCCCCGTCCCCATAAGTCGGGGAATTTGAGATATGTTTTTGGAACCCACCCCCCCCCCCTCCGCGTGGTGCTGCCTACACGAAAATTGTTCCCCGTGGCCCTCCCCCCCCCCTCCCCCCGTTGGGGAACAACTCTACTTATTACTTGTTAAACAAACATTCAAAACTTCAAGGTAAACTTCTCTGTTGGAGCCCTCGCCAAAGCTTTATATGCCCGAATGTTTGCCTGGCTTATTCGACGTTGTAATGCAACACTCGATGTTCGAGACAAACAACAAAGAGAAGGGCAACATTTTATTGGGGTGTTGGATATTGCCGGCTTTGAAATATTCGAATTAAATTCTTTTGAACAATTATGGATTAATTTTGTTAATGAAAGACTTCAACAATTTTTTAATCACCATATGTTTATATTAGAACAGGAAGAATATCAACGAGAGGGTATTCAATGGGCATTTATAGACTTTGGCTTAGATCTTCAACCATGTATTGAATTAATTGAAAAGGTGATTTATTCGAAAATATTTTTGGGCAAGTCTGGTTATTTGGGAGAGTTTAGTGTTATAATCTTAAAAAGGATTACTTAAAAATTAGAATTTATTTTATAATATTAATTAGAGCGAGACATGATCTCGATCAAAAATCTCGGTTATCTGGATCGAGAATTTTTCGAGATCTCGATTCTCGTACGACACTCCAAGTCTGGTTTCTAAGCTTAATAAACTTCTTTAGCCACTTGGAATTATCTCAATGTTAGATGAAGAATGTATTGTACCTAAAGCTACTGACAGTACCTTTGTACAAAAATTAAATGACCAACATATGGGGAAACATGCAAATTATCAGAGACCGAAGCCTCCGAAGGGAAAACAGGCAAAAATAATTTTTGAATCAAATATTTAATTTACTTAATAATTAAGGCAGAAGCCCATTTTGCCGTTATTCATTATGCCGGAACTGTACAATATAATGCTCATTCATGGCTTGAGAAAAATAAAGATCCTCTCAATGATTCTGTTGTTGCCGTTCTAAAATCAAACCCCGGAATGTCTTTACTTAAATTTATTTGGGAAGATTACCAAACACAGGAAGATGAAAAGAAGGCAAAATTATCTAATAAATTTTTTGAAAAATAAAATAATTTTAAGGAAGAACAGTTACTTTCAAATGGAGGAACTTCAAGATTTTCTAACAGCAGTAGAACTGCGGTAAAGGCAAAAAAGGGAAAATCATCTACCTTCCAAACTGTTTCAATGATTTATAGACAATCATTGGCCAATTTAATTAAGGTGCCAAAAAATCTTGGGAAAATTATTTTATTAATTTTTTAGATGCTTAATCAAACCCATCCCCATTTTATTCGTTGTATTATCCCTAATGAACAGAAAACGGCAGGTGTAATAGATGCTGGTTTGGTACTTAATCAACTTACTTGTAATGGTGTTTTAGAGGGTATTCGAATTTGTCGGAAAGGATTTCCAAATAGGGTAGGGTTTTGAACATTTTTTAAAAATTAGATGCATATTAGTTTAGCTTTATTAATTTATTAAAAAATAAATTTATAAATAAAGTTAATAAAAAGGTTCATTATCTCGACTTTCGACAACGCTATGCAGTACTTGCTGCTAAAGAAGCTATTGAACCTGTATCTGTTGAACTGGCAGGGAAACGAATGTGTGAACGCATGGAGCGTGAAGGGATACTTAACTCGGATAGTTTTCAATGTGGCAAAACTAAAGTGAGTAATTTTCTGAATTTATTTTCATTATTGAGCTTAATGTTTTTTAGCTTATAATATTTTCTAGAATTTGTTACCTAATGGTTCCATGATTTTTATTTAGATATTTTTTAAAACTGGTGTTCTAGCTTCACTAGAACAACACCGTGACGAAGCGTTGGCTAAAATTATTGCTGAATTCCAGCGAGTTTGCCGTTATTATTTGGCACAAAAGGAGCTTCAACGTCGGCGAGCTCAAAAGTTGGATATTTTATTTCTCACAATTAAAAAAAATTATTAAATAAAAGGGCTGGCATTAAAATAATTCAACGTAATGTCCGTAAATGGTGTGCTCTACGTGGTTGGAATTGGTTTAAGCTATTAGGCCGCGTCCGCCCTCTTATCAAAGAAAATCAACAACGCGAGGATTCTTTTGCTGAATTGGAAAATATTAACAAAAATTATTCACGTTTAGAAGCTGATTTTGCTCGCGAAGAAAAACGAAGGAAGGAATTGGAGGCAGAAACTGAGCGTTTAAAAGCTGAACGTCAACAGCTTGAAATGGCATTAGCACGTGAGAGGGATAGGTATGCTGAAGCTGAGACACATGCTAAGAGAACTGATGGGCAAAAAGCAGAGCTGGAACGTCAGGTAGAGCCGGATAGAAAAAAATTTTTTCCTAATTTAATTTCTAAATGTTGTTTACCTTCCCTTACAAATATTGATACAATTTATAAAAAAATAATCTCTCTGTGTAAGTAAGGATCACAAATCAAAAAAATAAAAACTAGGCTTCTATTAAATATTTGATCATTTTAGTTCATTAAGTGGCAACACTTAAATTATTTGGTAAACTGGGTTGGGCGGGATTTTCTATTTATAAAGCACTAATTTAATTTAAAAAATGTCTAGAAGTAGGGAGACCAATAATTATATTTGTTTTTAAAGTATTTCCTTTGAATACAGTGACTAATCTTCAATTAAGTGTGTTTTTAGCTTTTGTAGTCAATCAAAACACAAGTCAAACATGCTTTCAATTATCTCAGCATTTTATGCTTTGATTAATTCAAGCATTATTCCTCTTTAATCCAAAAAATATTTTTCATTTAAAGCTTGACAAAATGTCTGAGCAATTAGCCGAAGAGGAAAACGGTTATGCTTCAATGGCAAAAGCTCGAAAAAAGCTTGAAGCAGACATTGAATTGCTTAGAAAACAGCTTTCCGAGGCCGATTCTAATTTACGGAAGCAGGAAAGCGATAGACAAACACGTGAAGCACAAACACGTTCACTACAAGTATTTTGGATATTTTTAAATTTAAAAGGGAAACTTTAATATTTTAATTTTTAATATAAATTTAATTTATCAGGATGAGATAGCATCGCTTGATGAAACAGTTGCAAAACTTGGAAAAGAAAGGAAACACCAAGAGGAAGTGAGTGAAAAATATATTCAGATCTCTAGGACATTTTTAAAATTTGGTCAATGACGAGAGAATAACTTAAGATACCTAATCCTGTTTAAAGATATGACTTTTCCAGCCCCGAGTAATGAGGTCTGACTGTTTTTAAATTTAAGCTTAATCGAAAATTAACTGATGAGGTCAATTCGTACGAGGAACGGATTGCTCAACTTAATCGTGCTCGTCAAAAATTGGAACAAACATTGGACCAATCTGAAGAAACGCTCGAACGTGAAAGAAAGGCACGTCAGGATTTGGATAAACAAAAACGCAAAACTGAGGGAGAACTTAAAATTGCGCATGAAAATCTAGAGGAATTAGGTAGACAACGGGAGGAATTGGAGAATGCTGTGAAGAGGTACACAATAAAAAAATATTTGGAGATTCAAATTATAAATGTTTATGTTGAAAAATGATTTTTTATAGAAAAGAAGCTGAAACACAACTTTTGACTTCACGTTTAGAAGAAGAACAATCATTAGTTGCTCGTCTTCAAAAACAGGTATTTACAAATTCAGTCAAAACTCATTTTTATATAACCAAAATTAGTGTAAACCTAGATTTAAGATACTTGTATATACATATGTACATATCTATGAATTTTTAAAATTTGGTTGTCAAACGCATGGGAGAAAAAATTTTTAGAAATTCAAATTATAATTTTATGTAGGTACATCATTAGGTACCAGTTTTTAGCACTAATTGAATATCCAAAAGTGTCTAAAATTATCCAAAAATAATTTTCATTAAAAGAAATATTCTAACTTAATTTTTAATTAGATAAAAGAATTAGTCTCTCGTGTTCAAGAATTAGAAGATGAATTAGATTCTGAAAGATCTGCGCGTGTTCGGGCAGAGAAAGCACGTAATGAACTTCAAGTTGAGAATGACGAACTTACTGAACGTCTTGATGAAATGGGTGGGGCGGGAGCTGCCCAAATTGAAATGAATAAAAGGCGAGAGGCAGAAATGTCTAGAATGAGGCGGGAAATGGTTAAATTTTAGGGAGGAAAAAAACTTTAGACTAAAATTAATAGGAAGAAGCAGCTATTCAGAATGAAGCTGCCCTTCAGACTCTTAAAAAGAAAAATGTTGATGTGACTGCTTCACTTTCTGAACAACTCGAAGCAGTTCAAAAGGCCCGTTCCAAAGCTGAAAAGGATCGTATTCAAATGGAAAGAGAAATTGAACAACTTCAACAACAATTAGATTCTGAAACTAAACAAAAGAAAAATGATGAGAGAACTGCCAAGCATTGGGAAGCCCAGGCTATTGAGTGGCAGGTGCTTAAATCTGCTAACTTATTAAAATTATTTATTGCTCTTTAACTCCAATTAAGGCAAAGTCTGAAGACCAAAGCCGTTTGGTATCAGAACTTCAATCATTCAAATCACGTGCTCAAACAGATATCTCTGAACTTAATAAGCAATTGGAAGATGCTGAAGAGAAAATAGCTCAATTGGGAAGGGCAAAGATTAAATTAGCTAGTCAACTAGAAGAATCTCAACGATTTTTGGAACAAGAAAATCGGGAAAGACTTGAAATTATGCAACAAGTTTTGATTATTCGAGTACATGTAATTAACTTCTAATTTAGCTTTCCAATTCTCGCTTACAATGTGACCAACTACGTGAACAGATAGAAGAGGAGCAAGAAACCAAAAGTGATTTATTGAGACAAATAAGTAAAGCAAATGCTGAAACACAACAATGGAGGGCTAAATACGAGGGAGAGGGTCTATTACGTGCTGAGGAGTTGGAGGAACAAAGAAAGAAAATTATTGTAGGGATTTTTGAAGGATAAGAATATATAAAATAATTTAAGGCAAAATCAGAAGAAGTCATTGAACAATTAGAACAGGCCCAACAACGAATAACTACTTTAGAGAAAGTTAAGCATCGGCAGGCTCAAGAATTAGACGATGCCCAACTCCAAGCTGAACGTGCCATGCAAGCATTAACTCAACTTGAGAAAAAACAAAAAGGAGTAGATAAACTTTTGGATGATTGGAGATTAAAATGTGATTCTTTGGCTGCTGAAGCAGAGGCTGCTGAAAGACAAACACGAATTTCTGGAACTGAAGTGAGGGGGTTTTAATGAAATTTAATGAATGTCTGGCTTTAAATTTTAAGAAAAATATTTTAAAAAGGCCCTTCGTCTTCGCTCTCTACTTGAAGAATCTGAAGAAAAAGTTGAAGGTCTCCGACGAGAGAATAAATCATTAGTGGAAGAATTGCGTGATTTATCTTCTCAGATTAGCGAGGGAAGTCGTGGGGAGCATGAATTAGCAAAAGCTAAACGGAGATTGGAACTTGAAAAGGAGGAATTGCAACTGGCACTAGAAAGTGCTGAATCAGCATTGGAGGCGGAGGAAAATAAAGTTTTACGGGGGCAGGTCTTAACAGTTTATCAAAATTTCATTTTTCTTGGGTTTTAGGTAGAAATTTCTCAAATTCGCGCAGAAATAGAGAAAAGAATAGCAGAAAAGGAAGAAGAATTCGAAAATACACGAAAAACACACCAACACGCAATTGACTCAATTCAAGCAACACTTGAAGCTGAAAGTCGGGCTCGTTCAGATTTGGCCAAAACAAAGAAGAAGTTAGAAAGCGATATTGGGGAAATGGAGATTAGTTTGGATCATGCGAATAGGGCTAACTACGAGTCACAAAAACATTTGAAAAAACAACAAGAACAAATTAGGGAACTTCAACAACAAATAGATTCAGAACAACAACAAAGAGAACTTTTATATGAACAGGCACAAAGTGCGGAACGTAGATCTCACCAATTAGCACAGGAAAGGGAAGAAGCTATTATTGCTTTGGAGCAAGTGTGTTCTTTAAATTTTCTGTAGATATCAGTAGTAAAGGATTCTCCCACACAAACATCGAATCCTTTACCACTATGTTGATCTTAGTGCTAAAGGATTCTCCCACACAACATCTCCCACACAAACATTTGCGGATTAAGTCCGTATTTTTGGTAGCTTTAGTGTAGTATACCGGTGGTAAAAGTTCGGGACGTGACATATGTCATTCGATTTGTCTCGGCGAGCTGAGTCGAAATGGTACCACTCTCTACTTTAGAAAATGATTCTGGACCGAGTTATAGGTCCCGAAAAATCGAAAAACCATAGGGGGGAGTAAGCTTGATTTTGGGGTGAAAAATTCGAATATGCAAATAATAGCTCTTTCGAAAGAGCTCCTCGATGATCCGAAATATTTTAAATTCCGAACTCTAGTTTCTAGACAAAGATTCAAGTTTTCTTAATCTTAAGACAGAAAAAGCTCGCCGACAGCTTGACATTGATTCTCAAGAAATGAAAGAAGCCCTAATCTCACTTGAACAACAGACAATATCATTAAGCGCCTCGAAACGCAAACTTGAGGCAGATTTGGGATTAGCACAATCTGACCTCAATGAAATGGGTAATGAATTAAGAGCTTCTGATGAAAGGGCTAAAAGAGCAATAAGTGATTGTGCTAGATTAGCAGAAGAATTACGTCAAGAGCAGGACCATGCTCAGCATATTGAAAGACAGAGAAAAGCTTTGGAATTGCAAATTAAGGTAGACTTTTGAAAAAGTGTGAAATTGAGAAAATTATTTTTTCAAAGGATTTGCATCTAAGAGTAGATGAGGCTGAATTGTTGGCCATGAAGGGTGGAAAGAAGGCTTTTGCTAAGGTGTTTTTTAAGAAATTTATTTTATTATCTGCCAAAAAATCCTAAAATTTTAAATGAAAAATTTTAAAGTTAGAACAGCGTGTCCACGAATTAACAACAGAATTAGAGGCGGAAGCCAGAAGACATACAGAAACCCAAAAAGCACTTCGAGGCAAAGAGCGTCGTGTTCGTGAACTTCAATTTCAAGTTGATGAAGATAAAAAAGGTCAAGAAAGACTTTACCAATTAGTTGAGAGATTGCAGCAAAAACTTAAGACTTTTAAGAAGCAAAATGAAGAAGTGGTGAGTTTAGTGATAAAAATATTTTAAAATTATTTTGATAAGGATGAGAGAATAAGGACAATGAAAATTTACTGAAGAGATTTTTATAAATTAAATTAACTATAGGGCATTGGTCGTAAGGTCTTTGACTTGTGGCTTTTGATATTTTTAAGTGGGCTGTCCTCTCAGCGAAATATTTTCTCACAAAATTGCTTCCGAATTATTTTTAACTTCTAAGCAATTTAGGAGCAAATGGCCTCAATAAATTTAAATAAATATCGCCATATCCAATATCAATTGGAGGATGCTGAAGAACGTGCAGATACTGCGGAAAATTCACTTGCTAAATATAGAGCAAAAAGTCGTTCAACAGCAAATATTCATATGCTTATAGGTAAAGGTGTTAAGACTTCTGCTTCTACTACATCAGCACTTCACAATAATGTGCTTTATTATCCAATTCGGCATTCTTCTGTTGAACATAGTTCTTCTCTTCATGTGAGGAATTAATTAAGAATAATACATATACCGTATAACCTGTATTAATTACCCTCCTTAAATAATTACCCCACTTCATTTAATTACCCCATCCAGTGATATATTGAAACAATAATTACTCCCAACAAATGCCCTAAATAACGTTCAATTTTCAAACCTTGTATAATTACCCTCCCTCGATTAATTACTCCTTCCAGCGGAAGTTCGAAACAATAATTACCCCGGGTAGTTATTAAAGGATATATATTAAAAATTTTTTGGGAAATTTCCTTTTAATTCCACCCTTCTTAAAAATATTCGGCTTGATAATAGCAACTAGAGATCGGTATTTTCAAAAATCCTGGGTCTGGATTTAGATTAGTAACCTGGACAGTATTCTTAATCTGGATCCAGGAAAAATCCAGACTGGATCCAGATCCAGACCGATCTCTAATAGGAACGCTTAATGTTTTCTAATTTGGGACTGGATATTAATATCTCCTCGATAACTGATATTACTCTCTACTATTTTTTTAAGAATACTTCTTTTGGAAACGGTGCTCCATTATGGACAGCTTCTTCAGCTTTATATGCAGTAAATGGTGAACGTCAAGAAAATAAGGAAGAAGAAGATTCAGAAAAAGATTCAATAATAAGTCATTCAAATCAAGAAGAGGATTGAAAATAAATAGTTAAAATTAAAAAATTAAATAAAATTATGTGAATTTTCTAAGTAAATAAATTTAATTTAGTGTTGGTTTTTGTAATTTAATTTTTGGGGAAAAAAGCATTCGATTCAGAAAATTCTAAAAATAATTTGTAGAATTAAATCCAAAATATTGGAGGATTTTAATTCCAAAAATTAAAAAAAAATGTTATAAATATTTTAGTTGATCAACGTTTATCTTGAGTTAGCGCGTTATAAAAAATTTATAAAATTTATTTATTTTTGATAGTCTTTTTCATAGCTCATCAGAAACTGATATTCATCTTCTTCTTAGCAACAATGATTACAAGCATCTTTTACACAGCCAAAACCACGACATCCATCATAACAACAATATCTCATAAAATTAAAGCATGGCCATTGTATTGCACGTTTTACACGCGATCCAAAAATATCAACTTGCTAAATATACATATATTAAATATTAATTTAATTTACTTGATAATTAGAGTAAATTATCAAAAAAAAATTTGCCTATATAATTATAATATAATTTTAAAAATTAAAAAGAGTTTATTAAAATTTTTTTCATTTGTTAGTTGTGAAAAGTAGTGGTTCAAAATTTTTTTTCAATTTTTATGATTCCGATCCACAATCAACCCTATTAATCTCCTATAGAAAGAGTCTGCAAAAGTTTAGCCACCGGACAGGATTCGAACCTGCGACCGCCTGCTAGTTGTTGCTAGGCGCTTTCGCTCACCATATGCAGGTGAGGTAATTTACTCTTGATAATTAGAGTAAATTATCAAACTAATAATTTACTCTAATACTTTACCTTATTATTGCCATCCTCAATTTTTGTATTTTCATTGTCGTTGTTGTAGGACAAAATGTTCACGAATAATGCGAAAAGGCAAAAAACCAAAATTATTTTTGACATTCTTTTAATTTTTCAAATAAATATTAAAAATTAATTTTTAGTTTTATCAACAAAAAATGAAATTTTTGTCCAATTTTTACTTCTTTTATATTCCTCTAATTTTTAAAAATTAATGCACGTGTTTACACCTTTCATTAAAAACTTATTTTTAGCAAAAGCTTTTAAAAATAATCTTTAAAAAACAATTGTTCAATAATTAAAACACAATATCTCATTTAATGATACTTTAGCATTTTTATGACTCATTAAAATCATTGTTTTAAAATTTTTTCCTATAATTAATATTTTTAACAATAAATAAATTGTAAAAAATTAGTTATTTTGGGTTTCTAAAAATTATAAATATACCTAAAAATAGAATAGGTAATTTTAAAAAATTTTTAAAAATAAAATTAACCAATATCGCTAAAATTATATTTATTTAAAGATATTGTTTGAAATTTTCTGTTTATTTATGTTGTGTATGGCTGTATACATATTAATAAAAGCCAGTCGAGATTCAATGCGTTGGATCTTCAACATGCATTTTCTACCTACAACGTTTTGTATTTTTGCTCTGAATACTTATTCGTCTTCTTCTTCCCTCTCTGTTCGTGCTCGGACTAATAATTTGTCTAGAAATTATAAAAAAGATTAAAAATTTGTATTGTTCTTATTCAATTATTTCTTGCTTCATAAAATAAGTACAAAAATTCTATTAATTTCTCATCTTCCTCTTTTTGAAGTATTTAAAGATTTAAAGAAAATTTAAAAATTTTGAAGGAGACAAATGTTTTTTTACGAAAACATACATATTCTAAGTCTTACAATTTTTCAATAAATAATTTCCATAATTTATTAAAGAAAGTACTCTCCATTTATATAGCGTGACTCTTTAAAAAAGAAAATATAATACATTTATTAATGAATGATGACGAAATAATATGAAAATAACAATTTTCAGAGTTGTACTTTAGAAAATAGGAAATATTTTTTGAATGTTAAATCCTGAATTTATGTGTTTATATATTTTCTGACTAATTACTTTTCATGACATTTTTAGTCATATAATTCAGTGTTGCCCAGAAATCTACTCTTAAACTCGATAAAAATCACTGTGGAGGCTGGAACGGCTCAACCCTTAATTTTTTAAATATTTTTGGTACTATTTCGTTATAGGACCGCAAACTAAGTACCAGACGACTTTGAAAAGCTATGACTTTTTAATGCTTGATCCTATACAAATAAATTTTATATCATTCGAAAGCCTTCGATAATCAGTACCTTTTTCTAACTTGATGGCTCAGGTCTGATCACTGATTAAAAAGTTATAGCCGATCAATGTCGGCTGACTCTCAGTTTGCGGTCGTATAACGGAAGGTACCTCTATTTTATTTAACTGATTCAATCGAATCTGTTTAAGAAAATTGCAAAAATTTTAATTAAATGATATTCTATTAAATGAATTTTTATTAAATTAATATTTTAATCAAAAAATATTTGCAACTAAATACAGACTATTTTTACTTAAAAATATTAATTATTAGTTTAGTCTAGAATTTCAAGTTAAAACCTTTTAATAATAAAATTCCAGTGTTTTTTATTCTCGAAAAATACCTTTCCACTTAAAATGAAATTGAACCTTCTTTTTGCATTTAAATTTTTTTTCTAAAATTTTTTGGAAATAAAAATTTTTTGTTTTTTAATTTTTAAAATTCTTTTAAATATTGACATCAATTTACCGTATTTCCTATATTAGAGCCCCAGCCTCTGTTAGAGCCCCACCCTCTAATACAGCCCCACTTTGGAGGTTAGTTGAAAAATAGAGCCCCACCCTCAATTAGAGCCCCACCCCAAATACAGCCCCACCTAAAAAATTTTGGAGGAAAAAATATCCAAATATAATAACTTTATAGATGTATTAAGAGAGTTAAGGAAAGAAAGAGGGATATCGATGATTCGTGATCATGGAGGAGGAGGGATCATGGGGATATACCAGTTCTAGTTCTGGAACTGCTTTTTGAATTTCTTCAGTTCCAGTTCTGGAACCTGTTCCAGAGCCTCGCCAAACAAAATCACTTCATATGCCTCCTATTACCCCTAGTCCAGAATATCCCTCTTAATCCCGCTAAATCTCTCAATATAAACATAATCCGCTTATATTCACCATAATCCCTTAAAATCCACTATTATATCTTTGATCCATCGATGTCAAATACTGGTCCCCTAATATTTCCCTTAACCCGTCCAAATCTACCAAAATTTCATAATTGATCTTACTCTCATTAAACTATTGCTACTATTTTGTTATTCATTGCTTATAAAATTTTAATTTTTGTGAAAAATCGAAAATTTCGATCCTCGTTCGATATTTTTCGGTTTTATCGACCACCCCTCCGGCCTAACTCTAGTTGCAATGGATATTTAATAAATGGGATTTTATCTCAAAAGAGGGTTGAAAAATAGAGCCCCACCCTCAATTAGAGCCCCACCCTTTAATACAGCCCCACCTTGGAGGATAGTTGAAAAATAGAGCCCCATGGGGCTCTAATATAGGAAATACGGTATGTATGTTTTGTTTTTTTTAATTTCCTTCCTGTTAAAAAAGTTTTTTTAATGCATTTCCTCTACAAAATACTAACAATAAAAACATATTTATTTCTTTCCTTACTTAAATGCTCTATTTCCTCATTTAAATTTTTTCGTTAAACTTTTTAAGAATTTTACTTAAAATTTTAAATTAATGAATTATTATTTTTAATTTTTTGGGGAGGTATTTTTTGCATAAATTTTCTTTATTTTTATCTGTTTTTCACTATATCCCCCGTTCTTTAATCAACAAATTGTTGTTTAATTCCAAAAATAAAATTAGTAACCCAAAATTCTCAAATGATGGATGGAAAATATAAAAATTATAAATATAATATCCTCTTAATTTATTCTTTTATTATTTATTTAAAAAAAATTTTCAAGTCTATTTTTAGATTGTTTTTCATGTAATTTTCAGAAAAATAATTACAATTTGTCATTTTTATTCTAAGCTTGTTTTCGTCCCCTCTACAAGAATCTACACATAAATAACCACCATAGAAGGATAATTATCGAGATTCGCTTCAATCATTTCGGCGTTAAATATACTGACATTAATTGGAGGAATTGCTCACAAACTTATTATTACAAAGGATTTAAAATTGTCCGTACTAACCAGAGCTGGACGAAAATAAAATTTTGCACTCAACGAAACGAAAACGAAAAAAATAAATTCGTCATTGTACGAAACGAAAACGAAACGAAAAAATAATTTTTATTTTTGCGAAACGAAAGAAACGAAAAAAATCTCAATTTTCACGAAACGAAACGAAACGAAACGAAAAAAATCTAAATTATAAATCTTTAGATTTTAATGATAGATAATAAGTTTTTCGAGGTTGTACATGTTTAAATGAATCAAATATTTGATTGAATTCAAATATTAGCCGCCAAATCCTTTGATATCCCTTCAAATACTTTGATATCCACTTAATCCATCATTATATTCCCTGATATTCCCGACTAGCATGTAAGAAATATATCGGGTGATTTGGAGTAATTAAGAGGAAGTGTGTGGATATTATTAGGTGAGATATAGGTGAGATATTTAGAGGCTAAACGATTTAGAGGCAATATTGATATTCTCTCGGATACCCGTATTAATCCACAAAAATCTTCTAATGCTCTTTGAATCCTTATATCCCCTCTCATTCTCTATCCATGTAATTCTCTATTTCCCCAAATTAACTTCCAAAAATGCCCATTTAATTGAGGTGGTAAGCAGTGCTTCGAAGCTCGTACCAAAATTCGTACTCGTACCTCGTACTCGTACTTGGTACGAAGTACGAGCAAAAAATTGGGGCAGGTACAATCGAAATTTCGAAGCACTGGTGTTAAGGCGTGGTGAGCAGAGTCGGTCGGAACTGTTTTAGCGCCGCAGGCGAAAATTTTGAGAAATTTGGAAGCCAAGAAGCCAGGTTTTTCCATTTTCCGCGCCGCAGGCAAAATTTTTTTGAATTATCAGTTCCCGGGAGAAAAATTTACAATTTTTGGCTTAAAAATGCTACAAAATATAAAAATTGCCTAAAACTATCGAATATTATTTTCGTCATTTTCGTCTAAAAATTGAGTTTACAAAACGAAAACGAAACGAAAAAATATTTTTAATGAAATACGAAACGAAAGAAACGAAAAAAATTATTTTTAAACGAAACGCGAAACGAAACGAAAATCATCAAAAATCCACGAAAATCTACGAAAACGAAACGAAACGAAAAATTTTTGTCCAGCTCTGGTACTAACGGGTGCAGGAATTTTGGTCACCGGAATTTTGGTCACCACGATTTTTCGGAACTTTGGTCACCAATTTTTTTGGAATTTTGGTCACCAACGGAATTTTGGTCACCAAGTCAAAAAACGGAATATTGGACACTGAAATTTTGGTCACCAAGAGGAATTTTGGTCACCAAACGGAAAAAAGAATCTTATCTAAAACAGATATCAACGTGATAAAAAATGATTTTTCAACTCCCAGTTGATCAATTTCTATGTTGATCGCTCTGCCAGTTAATCAATCATCCGAAAGAGTGATCGAGAGTGATCAACCGGGAGAGTAATCAGCCAGCAAAGTGATAAACATTAAAATTGATCAACTGAGGGATGAAAAATCATTTTTTATCACTTTGATATCAGTTTTAGATCCCTTTGATATCTGTTTTAGATAAGATTCTTTTTTCCGTTTGGTGATCAAAATTCCTCTTGGTGACCAAAATTTCAGTGTCCAATATTCCGTTTTTGACTTGGTGACCAAAATTCCGCTGGTGACCAAAATACCAAAAAAATTGGTGACCAAAGTTCCGAAAAATCGTGGTGACCAAAATTCCGGTGACCAAAATTCCGTACACCGTACTAACTACATTATCCGGTTGTTCGGTAGCGCAGTTTGTTCCATAAGTTACTTCCTCGCTGGTTCTATTCCATCTCCCTCATCTACATAT